ACTGGAATTGGTACCTTGCTGAGAAAGGTAAGGCATAAGGCTCTCGTTGTTGCACCTCGACGACTCTTAAGAATATTGCTGACTTCCTCGACCTCTGAACAATTTACTAATACCACTAATATGTAGACCATAGATATTCTTTATCCACGAACACCCACTTCCACTGGCCACGGCACCCATATACGAAACCGAGGGAACTAGCACGTACTCGTCGTGTCCTTGTACTCTGACATTTAAACCCTGAATGACACGCTCTCTGTGTGAAAGGCTGAATTGTGATTATTTTTGAAATGTGTCAATCTCGAGCAGCCGGCCCATCTACTTCGGCGCTGTATTGTTTTATCAAGATCACTTAAGACGCGTCCTATATGGTGAACTTGGAGTGCGCTCTTCGCCTAGAGGTTTAAAGACCAAGCTCTGCAACTCAAGTGCTACTGTGCCTTTGGCGGCAAAGATTAAACCAATTGTGATCCCCGAGTCAACTTGCTCATTCTGAAGCGGTTTGTGGTAAAGTCTCACACAATATGGGATGGATTACATCATTTGCAGTGCCTTGTCGAGCAATAGCAAAGTAACCTCGACACGTACAATACTTCAACAAGGATCACAATTTATGGTACCTTACATATTCCCCTCATCACTGTGCAACTCTCAAATTCAAAATCATAAAGACTCAGGTGATATATTCTCCACGTAAAGATAATGGATTACAGTCCACCCCAATTAATTGCAATGCTTCTTATGTCACGATGATGCAGGAGAAATATTGATGTCCAGCACCACTGCACTCTGAATGTGTAGTCTTAGCCGAAGAGGGTTCCTGTACATTTCAGTGCATGGATTGATAGTTTAACTTATCTATATTACACTGATTACGGACATTACAAGCATTATCGGGGTATATATTCCATGGTCCAAATTTTCACAGTACAGTGATGTACATCACCGCGTTCACCCACTCGTGTCCGGTTGTGATTGTCAGGACAGTTTTGCCGCTCTTGAAATCCCATACCCTTGCTGTCCCATCATGGGATCCGCTCGCTACTCGCTTGCCATCTGCACTCCAGCACAATGCACACACAATGTCGCTGTGTCCCGTCCATTTGGTGATGGCCTTCCTCGTCTCGACGTTCCACAAACTCACTGTCCCGTCGCCGTTTCCGCTTGCAACTGTCTTGTTGTTTGGAGACAATGCCATGGACCACATTGCTTCTTCAATCTCCTCACCTATCTGTGTACCGCTTTCTAGGTCCCATAATCGGAGTGAGGCGTCATGCGAACATGTGATTATCCGTCGTCCGCCGGGCAGATGGACAACACCATCTACCCAGCCGGTATGACCTCGCATCGTGCAACGTGGCGTGATCGCTGGCTTCTTACTGGCGGAGGAAGACATGATCGGCGCTGGGAGTTCCAAGTACTGCAGCTCGCAGACTATGTTTGCGAGAGAAGTCCGCTGCGATTTTTCAATAAGGCCGGGTTATCGGATGGCAATGATTGTTGGTGAGTCCAGAGGCCTACTTCTTTCACGCACATTAACACTTGTCAGAAGCACAGAAGCCATTGCCCACGAGACAAGCCTACTCACGTGAATCCAGTCCTCGCCTGGAAGACAGCCTCGGAATATCCAGGATTTGCTGCGCCGTTATTCCAGAATGTGTTGGTAGGTATGTGCTAAAGCCGCTTTAGTAAGCAAGGGGTTATCTTTAACCTGCAGAAGAGCTTATAGTATCACTCACGAGAAGCACCGTTCAGACGATCTCAGTGCTCAATCACTAGCGATCAAAGGATGCCTGGTGTCCGGTTGGGAGAAGGGGAAGTTGGCCCTGTTCGTTCAAACCATCTTTTAAGGTGCGTCCCGTGCGTCATCCTCGTGTTCGCTTCACAGCTTCATTGCTGTGTAAACCATCATTGCTGTGTAAACCAAGCGCTCAGGTCTACGACCGGCACTATGCGCATCTTTTACGCAAGGAACTTCATGCTGGCGACAGAGTTCAACGGGAGCCACATTTTCTCTCTACTTAGATGTTTCTTCCAGCCTACTTAATATCGTCAAATCTTCAGCATGAATGGCATAGCTGTGCAGCATGCCGTCACCCGATGCTGTGTTCGAAAGCCTATCAGAACTTGCAGCGATGGTCCAGCGGGATTGGGGCCGTATCGCAACTGCTGTCGTTGAAGCTTACAAGAAGGAAGAGGAGGGGGAGGAGCTGCTATGCCGTGAAATGGCCTCAAATGTACCCCCAAGCAGCTGCTGGAATCTGAAAAGTGTTTTAGGTTGAACAATATCCGACATCGTCATTGATATATTGATATCTGGCCTCCCTCCTTGATAAATATCCCGCGACACGTCCAGACGCAGGAACTACTCGATGCGCTGCATTTACCGATTACAGCTGCAGTCTGCAGTCGGTCCGTCTTATATTCGGATGAATCATGTAAGAGTTCGCATATATATATCATGGTGATGGAATCCGAGCCCCTCCAACTCGTCGCGAGCTAGTCGTTTGTTCTGTTCCGGCTCACTAATTAGCTCAAGAAGAAATAGACTCATGCGCTTCACATCGATGGGCCGCTGCAGTGTCCTAGTATCAGGAATGCCTGCCTGTAAAGGCCGTTGCGTATTCATACGGGACGCACATTAAGGTCATTTGACTTGTGCGGTCAATGCGACACACCAGACTCATAACGGGAATTTGGCAAATCAGAAATATATATTGAAGTACCAACCACGAGCGCTTGTAAGAATATGAGTAATCACTCATCGACACATCCCTGCCCATTTCTTCCCCTTGCTATTAGTCTGTTCATCATCCCGCACATAGTGGTGGACCGGGCCGAGATCTTGCTCTTTCACCATCTCTCCAAGTGACTGAGCACCCGGCACGCCCGAATTTCGTATGATCGCGCCTTTGATTTCTGACATCATTTTGTCCTGCGTAACGTTAGATTCAGCTGTACGCCGGAACCTTGGGACGAGGTGTGCCAGCGAGTTCGCAAGGCGCAGCGGGAGACTGGGAGAGCTCTTTTGCGGAGCCTTATAAGGGAAACCCCACTGATCGTATGGGTTGCTCGAAGACTGGACGTCCTGATCCGTGTCGCGCAGCTGCATGACGTATGGTTTGATGCGCTCCTCCCAGACTTGCATAGAAAATTTCTGTGTTTTTTCCTTCCCACTGAGGTGAAAGTGGGTTTTGATGGGCTGCCCCCGTGTGACATAGACAAAGTGCCATGGATGTGTGGGGGACGGCTCGTAAGAGCTTCCACGGACGACGTCCAGCAGGAAGAGAAGACCCTCCGGGGAGACTGGGCGCGAGGTCCCGTGCATCACCTGCACGAGCCATACTGTTGACTTGTTGGCGTCAAACATGATTGCATCAATGCCTGGATGCACGAGCGCATGATGGGGTGTGTGAAGGATCTGTGGGCAGTTCTCGGCCAACGTCGAAAGTTCACGTTGGGAAGAGTATATGGAGCCTGAAGGCATGGCCTGCTGTTCCTCTTGCGCTACATGCGTTTTGGTTCGCAGCACAAGCTCTTCCTGAGCCGGATGGAGATGGCCCTGTAAATCAGGACGTCCGAGCGTGAAAATCCCTCCAAGTCTGGACATGAGTGCCACGACGGCCTGACGGTAGAAAATCTCGCCAGCCACTTTCGTGTCCTCTGATTTAAGGAGGGTGTCGGTGATCTCCTTGGCGCCGGCGGAGTCTATGGAGGTGATCTCCCCTGCGAGAAGCCTGGTAGCAACTTGTGAAACGGGGAAGGAGAGCGGCTCTGAGCAAGCTTTTCCAGGTTCGACAGCGAAGAGGTTACGGCTATATCGTGCTTCGGGTTCGCGCAGCGCAGGTTGCATACTCCACAAATCATCGTGGGCACGCTCGAGCTCCTTGAGGTAATGATCAGCATCGCTGGCATGTTGCGATGCTTGCAAGCAGGCATGTGCGTTGGACCCGAAATGGATGAACGACCATCGTAAGGGCTTGGCTTCATGCTGGCCTGGGGTCAGAGCACTAACGGCAATGGTCAGCGAGAGCTAATGTGTGATGGGTTCATTTACCTCATTGCATAGATCTCATCAAAGGAGCACGGTTTTATCCATTTTCGAAGTACAGCGTCATACTCAGGCAACCATTCGTTATCAAGGTCCAGATTGTCTGGCCAGAACGTGGTGAAGATAGCCTTGCCGCACGTGCCTCGCATCACAGCACGAGTGTGCTCGATGTTTCGATGTGTAATAGTGTCTTCTTGAGTGCTGTCGATTAGGTGTAGCACATCTTCACGTTGGAACAACGAGTGGAATTCGCTGTTCTCCTCTGGGAGAACGAAGAAGCCATCGGCAGTGAAACACAAGACCCTCGAGTCTGCTTGATCGAGCTGGTAGGTGACCGGCTGGCGCGCAAGAAGTCGCCTGACGAGGGCGTATAACAGGAAATATGTCTTCCCTAAGAGTAATTGGCTGTGTCAAGAAGCGATAATTGTAGAAAGACACCGACTTACCGATACCAGCAGACCCATGAATGACAATATTGCGCTCGTTCATGGAGATCTTGTGGAAGAATGTTTCGTACGCCGAGCGGATGATCATCGAGGTCGCCCCATTTGGTAGCTTCGCACCAGGGCATCGAGATAGATCAATGGTGTTGCAGTTGAATGGATGCATCCTGTTTCAGACCCCTTTAGTATCACTTCAAGTCCCGTAGAAAGGTAAATAAGGCTTACTGTTCATACTCCTCTAGATCTGGAACGTTACATTTCAACCGCCTCACGACAGAGTAATCCTGCTGCTGCCAAAGGACATGATAGAGTGATAAGAGGTTGAGGTGAGATACCAAAGGGCTTGCAGTTGCGGTGGATGCCATGTTAATCTGTGTAGAGTTTGATGAAAATGCAAGGGGGAGTAGCCGCCATTATATAGTCGTTGCAGCATTTTCGGATGTTATGGATGGACGGATGGACGGATGTCTTCGTGACGTCAACAATTTGTGAGTTGTGTGACAATGTTTACTGCTGTTGAATTGTGAAGCTGCTGACTAAGGAACTCATGCATTTAAATTTCGACCACCATCATACGTTGTCCAGATTCGGATCCCATCACCAGCGGTCTGGCCATTCTTCAGGTCATTCAAATGATAGCGCAAGTCAGCACTTTTGTATAAATACACTGCCTCTGTCCATTATATGGAGTTCCGACACGTCCTGCCGGAGCCTGATTGTTGAGCTCAGTTTAATCAGCGTGTTCTGGCCACAGTTTTGGGAATCGGGAATAATCCCTCTCTGCAAGCCGCACTCGGCAGTGCACGATGACCAAAGATGGACCAGTCGCGAAATTAAACGAAGAGCTGAAAAAATATTATGACAAACGAGCAGGAGAGCAGTAAAATGGGCACGAGAACCAAATCGAGGGAATAACTACCTTCGTCCGATTGGTCTGAGGAGACTAATCATATTTCAGCACCCTGGCCAACAATCCGTGACCGGTGTTATTCGCCGTTTTTGCATAGCATATGAATACCGCAGCTCCGAAATATGTTGGTATCATCATGCAGGCACAAAAATAGAGTCCGTCCCAATTTCGCCGTCGACGCTCGACCAGGGTGTCATACTAAGAGGTGATTATGCTGCATGTGACAGAATTATTGATATTGGATCTCAGTGTCGTGACAGCCTGTCCGAGTCCCACTGCTAGCAGAGTCAATTTGGATGCAAACCGGATAACACGGGTATTACTAGCTATAGAGCTTATAAGGAAAACTATGTACCATGTAATAACGCAGGCAAGTCCCAAAGTCCAATGAAAGCCTAAAGGCCGAGGTTGATGGGAGTACAGCCAATGTTGACGAGGCCGTTCTGAAGTTTCCCTGTGAGACACAAGCTTGTGAGAGAAGACTCCTGTAACTCACCATTTTGTTGCCGCTGCAGCACATGGGTTGTTGGTTGCACATGGCACCACTGCCAGTGCCGATGACAGTAACAGGGCTGCAGTCAAGGCCAACCTGGCCGACGACCTCAGCAGCAATTTCCACAAGGCCAAGAGACCTTGCCGCCTTGTTGTAGTTGGAAGTCTACACAAATTATGAGAATTAGTGAGAAATAAATAAGAACACATTGCTCACGGTGGTAGAGCTCTGACAGCACTTGATGTCACCGGTGTTGCACTGGCCATCGCGGAGAGCGAGGGGACTCGTGGCGACAGCGAGGGCCACAAGGGAGGCAACAGCGAAGAAACGAGCGAGCATTTTGTTTGTGAAGTGGGGTGGCTAAGAAACTTTGGTGAAAGAGTGTGCAGAAGGCTCGAAGCTTGAGTGAGAGCTGGTTAAAGAGATGTATTCTGAAGAATCAGACACATCAACAATCCACCTTTATACGATGAATGCATGCTGCAACCCGGCTGCTCCGCCATCTTTGTCAGTGTTTTTTTCTCTCAGATCGAATAACCGACGGCAGGTGCTGTACTTATCGCCAGTCTAGCCCGTGGTCTGGAGCATGTAGCCGTAAACGCAGTTGAATATTCATTACGTGAATATCACCTTGGAGTGAACGACGCGTTTTGACCACGTGACCTATTATCAACATGTGTGGCGCTTACTCTTGGAGACCACCACGTCAGAAACCACCGCATTGTTCTGATGGGCCTAGCGCTCTAGTCCGGACACTGTGAATCATTGAGCGATCTGTAGCTCGATAGTTGCAATTAGCTTGTCTACGCCTAGAAGCATGTCTGTTTGATTAAGTACTCGAGTAAGGTTTTGTCGCTAATTGATGTCATTTTGTATAGCTTACAACTACCGACACCAGGCTCTGCCACCGCATGAGGCGCTATGCTCATGTTTCTTGTTCGTAAGAGAGGTGAGGGTCGATACACAAACAGTATTGACGTAGACATTTTTCAGTGAAATGTCTCGTCCAGAGGTAATCTAAGGTAGTCTGATAAGGGACCGTGACTACCAGGGTTTGGGGGAGCGTTGGACTTGGCTCCATTTGCCAGGGTTTGGTTGTGTACAGAAGGCAATTTGGGCAAGGCAAGCTACGACATGCGAACCAGAGGAACACCCGCTCGTTCTTCAAGCTTCAACGTTTCAAGCACCATCCAGCGAGCTCTTTCGCCCATATGATCTCGAGCAGCTCTTATGCCTCGCAATCTCACTATCACCGTCGAACACACATACTGACCAGACAGCCCGACTCCCAAAAAATCGCTTCATAATTTGATTCAATCAAGCCCTTCGGAATCAAGTCACGCTTGGACCTCAATTGACGTCTTCGTACGTTCGTTCCTTGACACAACCATTACCCATGAGTTCTAACCACACCCAACTAGTCCTTCTCCGAAAGTCCGTCAATTCACCATCAACCTTGTCTCAATGAGTCAGTATCAATGCCAGTATCTCCATCTTTTGTTCATATTCTCGCATTCTGACCTCATTAAAAGTTCCTAGCGAACCTCGATCATTTGAAGGAACTTAGGAGAGGCTGTCCAAGGTGGCTATCAAGGGTGCGGAGTATGACTCCCCTGAACGCCTGCTGCCTCCGAGATGTTTGGAAGGGACCCGAGAGGACCGTCTCGAGGACATCTACAAATTGCTAGACAACCGAGATAAGAGTCGACTGATTTGGCTACATGGCGCAGCAGGTGTCGGAAAGTCTGCTGTTGCTTTCACTGTAGCCGAAAGAATGAGAGGTCTAAAAGTGACACCACGGACGAATGAAAAGCGGCTCGCGGGGACATTCTTTTTCTCGCGAAAACACACAAAACGCTGCACCACCGGTTATTTCTTTGCAACACTCGCCTATCAACTTGCCACCAATTTTGCCAGCATTCGAAAGGACGTGAACCAAGCTATCCGCGAGAATCCTGCGCTTCTAGACCCCGATAAGTCTCTTCACGACCAGATGCAATCGCTCTTTGTCCAACCTCTCCAGAGGCTTTACTTCAGGCTGCGCGAGTGCCCGCCTTTGGTGTTCGTTGTTGATGCCTTTGATGAATGCAGACCCGAGACCGTCGCTGATCTCATCTCCCTGCTTGGCCAAGCTCTTCGTCAACCCAATCTTCCCGTGGTCCACATCCTACTCACAAGCCGTCCGGAAGAGCATATTCGTAGAGCCATCCACAAAGCCGAGATGCGCGAGATACCGGAGAAAACTTCTGCGGAGAGTGTTACTACCACCATCTCATTAGAGGGTGCGGATGTTGACAATGACATTTATATATTCTTGCAGCATTCCTTTAAAGAGCTGGAACGTCAGCATCCTGATTTTCCTCAGCCAACAGCAGATGAACTTGCGCAGCTGGTGAGCCGAGCGGGCAGACGTTTCATTGTAGCATCCACGATGATTAACTTCATCAATGGTCAAGACGATGACACCCGCGACCGGCTTCAGCTCATACTCGACTTGACAAGTGAAATGCTACCACGCACGGAGGTGTACAAGTTATATGATTGCATCCTCTCCACATGTGCGGACCCCAAGCGGGCATACCTGCACTTGTCCGTCGTCGCTGCCCTCGTAGACCCTCTGCCGATCTCGGAAATCTCGAAACTTCTTGGTCCTGGCCAGGGCAATCATGTTGAGACAACACTGTTGCAGCTACGGTCTATCATGGATATCCCCGCCGATAGCAGTCTCCCCGTGAATATCTACCACTCCTCTGTTCGTGATTATGGTTTAGACCCCTCAAACTGCAATCTTCATCAAGAACGATGCATCACGTCACCCCACTCCCTACTCGCTCGTTGTTCTTTGGGATTGATTATGCGAGAAATTCCAGAAAGCACAGCCCTCCTGGACGCGCTCTCAGAATTGAAGCGGCAGAGCCAAGTTATGCAACCCCATGACCTCCAGAGTTTGAAAAACATGTTAGCCTTCGTTGTCCAGCCACCGGAGCCACTCCAATTTCTCAATGGTCTACTATGGCTTCAAGGAGATCGCAGTCCATATTTGCAATCCTGGCTAGATACCCGGGACGGTCATACCTGGCTGCAGAACCGAAGGGGGAAAGACTGGTTGCCAACCCAAGGGGGGAAGGACTGGCTGAAGACCCGGGGGTATCACTGGCTGCAGAGCCAAGGGGGAAAAGACTGGTTGCAGACCGCCAGCGGTCGAGAGTGGCTGGAGACTCCGAGTTCGCGAGAGTGGCGGTGGAGTCCGAGCGGGCGAGAGTGGTTGCGGCAGCAGACTCCTCGCTGGCCACTGGCAGTCGTTCCATGGTTCCAAAGCGAGCCAGACCCACTGCAGACTTGGGTCGAGACTCTGAGCGGGCGAGAATGGTTGAATACTGGAGATGGGCAAGAGTGGCTGCGGAACCCGAGTGGGCAAGAGTGGTTGGGGGCCCCGAGCGGGCGAGAGTGGTTGCAATCCCAGCATGCGCAAGACTTCCTTGGATCTCCGGGCGGGCGGGCATGGCTACAAACACCAAGTGGGAGAGAGTGGCTGCAATTGTGGTTGAAGACTCAGAGCGGGCGAGAGTGGCTGAACACGAAGAGTGGACGAGACTGGTTGCAGACACAGAGCGGGCGAGGCTGGCTCCAAACACAAAGCGGGAGAGACTGGCTCCAGACTCAGAGCGGGCGGGACTGGCTACAGACCCAGAACGGACAAGGCTGGCTCCAGACCCAGCGCGGGAGAGACTGGCTCCAGACCCAGAGCGGCCAAGACTGGTTGCAGACACCCTGTGGTCAAGCATGTCTGTTAACTCTTGAAGCGTCTGTTTGGGTGGCAAGCCAAGAATTCTTCAGCACATCGGAAGCAATCAGCGAGTTCAACATCATCTCCGGAATGCCAGCACTAATCCAGGAGTACAAGAGTTTACCGGATGTCTTGATGTTTCCAGTATTCCTCGCGTTACAGCACCAGGATCATTCCACCTCTGCATTACCACAAAATCATTCCCCATCAGATATGGAGATCATCCATGCTATGGAGTCTCTTGTGAGTTTCGCAAACGAAGTGCGGGAACGAAGTCGATCATCTTCCGAAGCTCTCAAGTACGCATGCCAGAACTGGGCCGTCCATCTCTCACGAGCTTCGAATCCATGGGATGACAGGCTCAACCATTTATTTCATTGTTTCTGGGAACATCGTCTCCTTCACTGGCTCGAATGGCAGTGGAGTTTGAAAGGTCTGCGGTCTGCGGTCTTGCCTCGTTGTTTTATCCAAAGGGCAGACGCTCGCAAAGGTGTGTTCAAAATGGTTTTGGTGTTTCAGAGGCTGACCTAGGACACCATGGAATTCAGGCAACGAGGCAGCGGACAATCGTGCAAATGGAGCTCCCCGAGGGGAGACGCAGAACACGCGCCTCCGACTACTACCCAACCAGGTCACAAAGCACGCCCCCATCCCCTCCCACGCAGGAAAGCGGCAGCGAACCAACAATTTTAAATCCGGCTATATACCGAGGCCATAGCCATCATGACAGCTCCACTGCTCTCTGAACCGCTCAACCACAATTTCATCCACGCTTACCATAACCTTGCCTCGTCGCCACAGCCTTCTCTGCTTCCGACTGCGAATTCAGCAAGCACTATTGAAGTATCTGCATTGTATTGCACACTTTCTGCTGCTCGATTTCCAGTGCGGAGAACGCGAACTTTCGCGAAGACTTTCATGCACTCAGAGTTGTCGGCCCCCACGCACACCACCTCAAACGTCTTTGACCACCCGGAGTGTGAAGGTGACCATAAAGTTCATCTTTCGCACGCAGGCCGTTTAGAGAATTCGGGACGTCGCGTCATAAGCGCACGAAACTGGTATCCCACATCTCAGTAAAACTTCACAGACAGCCAAGTGTTACGCTGCGTCCCGTTCATCCACGGGGACCTTACCGTATCTCCTATGGCTAGCTCTACCGCGCCCTAGACGGACGTTAATTCCTACATTACTTGTATTCCGCAGAGTACCTAGTCACAGTATTATATAGCGTATAATGTTTACCGTAGAAGCCTAAAGAAAGAATCTGGTGAGCCTCTACAGTTGTGCTTCAGAAGCCATTTAATAATTAGGGGTTTTGGTTTACATAAGCGTCACGGCTGGCTCTGTGAGCAACCAGTTTGGTGGTAGTTCACTTGCACACAACAAATGTCTTCAGACAGCGGCGAAGAGAAGGCAGCGGAGGAAGGCACGATGACGATGGACGAGAGAAAAGCAAAAATGGAGCAGCTGAGAGCGAAGATGGTCCGTGGTCCTGTTTGCCTCGTACTTCTCATCCCTTACTCACTCTTTCATAGCGTTCATCGACGAAAGCGAATCGTGCTTCGCTCATTGAAGAGTCTTCCAAAGCCAAGATGACAGCGAGGGATGCTGCACGGCTAGAACGACAACGGAAACTTGCAGAGATGTTGCGCACGCAGGCTGAAGCTGAGGATCGGGGAGAGGATGTGGAGCGGCAGAAGAATTGGGAATGGACAATAGAAGAGAACGATAATTGGGAAAAGAAGAAGGCAAGGAAGGCACGGAGAGCGGACTACGAGTTTCATGGTAGGGGATTTCGGTTCTGCCTTGCATGATGTCACTCATGAATCTTGTGTAGACGATGCTCACGCGGCTCGACGGCGCTACAAGAAAGACCTTGACCTCATTAAACCTGACCTTGTTGCATACAGCCGACAGAAGGAGGCCGTGCTGGGATTGGCACCAGGGTCTCTTTCCAAGTCTGGGAGCAGTACGCCATCGTCGTCTGCTCTCACAACTTTCGATCCTTCAGGCGGACAGGTGAGTTCTGCCGGGCATTCCGTTGTATTGCCTTGCTTATTATGCCCATTTCTTAGGTAGTTCCATCACCTGAACAACGGATGGCCGTAGAGAGCTTCTACCGAGATGCCAATACTCTACTGTACGCTGACAATAAGCCTACGGAAGATGCCATCGATAGAGTGGTTGGCAAGATCAACAGAGAGTACGTGACAGTGCTACTTGGCTTCCCCTGCACTACTGACATTTCACCGTAGCATTGACAAGAAGGGCAAATTTTCCCGAAAGAGACTCAACGAGGATGAAGGCGACATTACCTACATCAATGAGCGGAATCGGGTGTTCAACAAAAAGGTCTGTCATCGTACATCGTATTTTTGAAATGAGCTGACGAGGAGCAACAGATTGCGCGATACTACGACAAATATACCTCGGAGATTCGGGCTAGTTTCGAGCGGGGAACAGCACTATGACCCACTGCATATGTATTCAACCTCACTGCACATGTACTCAGAGCACATTCATCTACTCACATCCTGTAACATTATTGAGATTATATCGATGCACTGCGCGCGATACATTTTGGGATTTGAAGCAAATGGGATCAAAGCAATAGATTCATCATGATTGGCAAAGCGAGTCGCGACAACATAATACATGTGCTAGTATGAGTACAACCGGACCAAGGGAAAAAAATGTTGACTGATTGATGCCTGGAAGAATGAATGTCAGTACATGATCCAATGACTTTTCGGGATGCTTGAGAGGTATCAGAATTGCAGAAGTAAAGGTAATCAGCAGCTAGACACAGAGGTCCATAAGACTGTTGAGCTTGAATGTGATATTTATTCATCAAAAGAATCGACCAAGCGAGGCGAACGCGGAATACGATGGATAGGAACACTTACTTGAAAGTTTAGCCAACGTGGCGGCGGGAGGAAATACTGGACGAAGCAGCAAAGTGAACATTTTGAGCTCTGGAAATTTTTAACCATCGGATTCAAACTCCGTCTCCGCGGTCATTTGGTTATCTAAATCAGCTCGCCTCTGGCTTGCCGCTTGACTACCAACATTATGAGCTCATTAACGAAGTCCGCAGTGTCCAAGTTTCCATCTCACAAAATTGCGATTTCTTTGCGGTAGAGAAACTTGGTCGCTGTGCGGGAGCGATCCCATCATTGTTTATTAAGTCGCAAGTGTTCTTTGAAACTTTTTTCGCACTTGTTTCCATGTCATATTCATGATCTCTTAGGATTATACAGGATGTTGAAACCGATTCTGTGGAGGAGGGATTTTCAAAGACGTCGGCGTGAAAGTGGATTGTAATTTAAATGGAGTTCAAACTATTCTCCCGTCGACAGCGTCAGTCACGGTACATCTTCTTGCCGCATCATCATACAATGCCCACTCGTGCGGATGCACGGGAGCCACTTGTCCAGAAAATACTCCCAAAGGTCTGAGATAGAGGAAGCGAAAAGAAAGGCCCTGCCTTCAGAATCTTCAAGGAAATGGTTCATCGAGAAGTATTCAGTCCATCATCCATTCAACAACGACAAAAGAGGAGATTCGAAGACCGTGATTTGGATGCGGTCACCCTCCTGCAGTCAGATAAACCATTGTTTATAGAAACGGACGCCTCTGGTGATGACCTGGGTTTGGAGAAGGAGTTGAATCAGAAGGTTTGATTCATTTCCAGTCTGACTCTGAAGAATTGTCTACTAATAAAACACGACGTAGATCCGCGCGATCTTATAGCCCTGACATCGTCTTCTCCGTGCCATTCGAAGCCACGTTTCAAATTCACCTCTTCTGTCTTAACTGCCCAAAGCTGGGATAAAGCCAAAGGACCTTTTTCCTAGAAGAAGTACAGTACGACGCGGGTGTCGCAGAAGGCCTTGGCTATGGCGCGAGCAAATACGTCTGTGAAAGGGTAAGTCGTACGCTACTTCAGGGGAGTGTGCCAATCTGACCAATGCAAGGTCCTCGTGAACAGCAAATTGCTGGCGTCCTCGTTCAGAATTGGACATATAACGGGAGGACCTCCGTAAGGAGCTTGGTCTAAGACTGACTGGCTACCGATTATCGCCAAGTCGAGTGTAAGTCTGGGTGTGTTTCCGGAGTGTGTGTAATTCAATGCATCTTTACCATACCCACGGAGTGCTCATCGATGGTACACGCGGATTAACTTCTGTCGTGGACTCCTACTTATGCCATATCAAATGCCATTCTTAATGTAGCTTTCGCGGAAGAAGAGCCTCCTATCGCGGTTAATCTGGTGCATCCAAATTCGGTAGTGTAGGGGACGTTAATGCCGGCCTGTTGCGGATGCCATCCTTGAGCGGAAGGTAACAAGCGTCCCGCTGCCTCTCATTCCATTCTCGAAGTAGTTCGAAAAGGTCGAATCGAACTGGCTGCCAAGAATGCAAGCGAGGAAAATGTCAAACCCATTGTACGTGTGTTTCAATTTCTGACAGAACACTTTCCCACATGGTCTTCCATCGTAGCCTGCTATCAAGCCTCTTGACTTTACGCGTCTCATGTCTCGATCAGACATTACACTCGGAAAGTCTAAGGAGATGCATTCAGAAGTGGATGGCTTCACCCCGTCCGCGATCGGTATGGCCCAGCGCGTCAGTCTGACGGTGAAGAGCTGGAGCCCCTGTCATAGGCGACTGCAATGCAATAGGAAGATTATTGGGAGGCAGTTTCGATGAATGATTTCTTACAGTTGAGCCCATTCACCATTTTAGTAGTAAATCTGATGCGGCAGTGTACAATCGATATATAGTGGAGCAAGTTACACGTTTTTCAATCCCCCATAGGACAAACCTGTACAGTCGACGCCTGGAATAACGAACGTCAGTACTTGATCAAATGATGTTCCTGGAATGTTTCAAGGAGGTATCAGAATTGCAGAGAAGAATGGAAGTCAGCAGTTGGGCAGTGCACGGTGCAAAGGTCCAAACTTGAAACTGCTGAGTTTCGATTGACTTGTCCCATTGTTTTGTCAGTTGCCGGTACCGTGTCAATCATCACTGAGACAGGCCACAGCGACAACAAGGCGCACCAACAAGTCATAAGACGCTGAGTTTCGTTCATTGAACATTTCTGACTATGACAGACGAAAATGGCTTCAGGTCCCACCATTAACCGCATGTTCTTGACCTCAGTATGGTTTGAATCTGTTGTTTACGGTATACATTCCTTTGGCTATCGAGCGCAGATATTGGGTTCTAATAATCCGCCCAACTCTCTTTCATAGGGATCAAGTAGGTTCAGATGTTTGGAGAAAGTTTTACGCTCATTTCCATTGACAGTTGCGTACTTTTTGGTGCATGTATCTGGATCCTGGTGAATCGGAACAGAAAGTCACATAGGTTTGTGATTTGAGACAGCCGCTAATCACTCACCGGCGCTTATCTCTCAATCAGGGTCCTTTTCGCGTCGTGTATTTTCCACATTTCAGTCTCAACAGCGCACAGCGTCATCTCCCTTCTTATATCCTTGGAGGCATTCACAACTCCTTGGATATTATCCATCCCTAATGGAAGCACCGTATACATAGTCGCGCCAACAACATATATGTTGACGAATTTGGCATTGTTTGTCTCCAACGTGTGTATCATTTGTCTGGCCGAGTCAATCATTCTTCATCGTTCCTACTTTCAGGTACTCGCTCAAGATTTGCTGCTAGTGAGTAACATTCGGCTTATGGAGATATTGAAGTAACATGCGCAATAACAGATCTGGAGGCTCTACGTCGCTTGGAACTACAACTGGAAGCTTGTTATTCCCGCGGTAAGATATCTTCCGTCCTACTTGCCGCATCTCTCTCATGAATGCTTTTATCGCTAGTTGATTTTGGAAGTTGTGCATATCGGTAGGCTCGCTAACTTTCCTTTGCTCTCAGATCAAGTGTTAAGATTATCTATTGCCTCTGCCTAGCTTGTGCGATCGTAGCCGTGTTTCTGATTGCTCAGCCTAATCACCATCTTTTCTCACACAATGTCCAAGCTTTTGGAAAAGCCAGCTGGTCGCTCGGTCTTTTTCTCAACACCGCTATTACGTGCGGAATCGCATATCGTTTTTGGTATGTAGGCCAGAAAGTATCCGATCACACTGGCCGGAATGCCTATAAGGCTGCCATGTTTACTGTCATCGAGTCCGGTGCACTTATTGCCAGCTGCACTGTGGTAATGTTCATTCTGGATGTAGTTGGCAGCCAAGCTGGTTTCATGGCATTCAATGTTGCTGTTCAGATTGCTGTAGGCACCTTACGCTTCTCTTCTTCTCATCTCGTCTCACATTTTTCTAGTCCACGACACCTCTTCTTATCATCACCCGTCTCGGCCTTGGCGCCACTAACACTGATACCAATTTCGGCAAATCGTCAGCCCCTTCAATGACCTTTGCACCAACAGTCCAGATTGGTGTCACTCAGCATACCAGTACCTTCCCTACGACTCCTACGACTCCTATTTTACCATTTACTCGTCAGAAGACTGAGAGTATGCGGTCAATCAACCGTGGAGGGTAGTAACGACTCATGTTCGATGGCCCTAGCCATCAGCTGGTCTAGGTATATGTTCAGCCATCTCGCTCACTATTGCTGCCCCTCTTTGCTGTTATCATGTAGTTCCATAGTTTTTATCAGATTTATCCAAGGGACTTTGTCGGATCATATGGTTGGCAGGTATCGAAGAAGGAAGAAGATAGTCTTTGAGGGCCCATGATCCAGCCGTCCGTGAGAGTGCGAGACTATCATCTGCAACCCTACTAGTCTCAGTCTCACATTACTTGTCAGATGCCTACAAAAGACGTCCTGCTTGTTGCCATTGGCCTGGTTGGAACAAAGTAAATCACGAGCAAGCCTAATTATCGATCTTGAAGTACAAGAGCGATCTGAATCGCCTCTAACACAGCACTTCCCATGCCGAAACAAGCTCGCGGATATACCCCAGTACGACAATGACAAGGCCGTCAGAACGTGTCTCAGATTTGACTTGAATGGCATACACTGATCACGGAAAAAATCATGGCACTCCGACAAGAGCTGGAAACTCTACCATACGTCGTAAGTAAGACCAGTATGTTCCCCTCGGCAACAATCGTGCATCTTTGATTTACAGTACTTGGTATCGTCAGTGACACTGCTGATCCGGGCTCTGATAGCCGCATCCCTATGTAGCACAACCAAGGCGATTCCAGGGTCCAGCTTTTCTTGTCCATACTACAGTGAGAGGTACCCTCAGCCTACTTATACTATCTTGCTCCACAACGGACTTGAGGTTGAGCGAGACTTGTCGACTCCCCGAAAAGTCTTGCTAGTACGTCGATCGACTGCTTCGGCGTATCGATATCTTACTCTTTATCAAATCATCAGTTTTTTTCGTACAACCTGCCTATATCATAATCTATTAGTGGATGTATAGGTCGACTCTGTGGAGGGGTTTCAAAGACGCTGTCGGCAGGAAAACGGAACTGAACTCCATCCCTTTCTCCCGCCGACAGCATCATTTACACCAACTCTGATCCCTGTTATAACCAGTTTCTGATATGCCCTCTGTCAGACCGTCATCAGTGAGTTGCCCGTTGAAGCGGTGGCTCCAACCAATGTGAGTGAGACTATGGACTGGTGGAATGGATGAACCCTTGCTAGCCCCTATTGGCTTCTGTAGTAGCCTCTGCGAATCCTTGCCTCCGTGCTCTTCAACATCAACTTGATGCCCATTCGTGTGGATGTCCAGGAGTCATTTGTATCTAATATTAATAATGTTGTTCAGAGTTATACCAGTAACTAGGTTGCTTTTCAGTCTTGTTGGTCATTCCATCCTGGCGTATTGATCGATAGTATCAGTACACATATAGTCAATTACAACTGATGAACAACATGCAAAAATAAGCAAAACAAGTGCTTTTGATCCACAGCTTTAATATAATATCACGCTCCTTCAGCTCTTCTGATCATCCTCTTATCCCGCTCCCCAACCACAGTCAGCACTCCCTCGTTCTCCATCGCTTTGATGACTTCAGAAAACTCAGCAGCATCAACACGGATACTACTCTGATCCGCAAGGCGTTTCATTGCCTCGCCCCATTTTAGGCCTTTGCCCTTACCAGCGCCGCCATCAAGCATCGCTAGTATTTCTCTGCGCATGTCATCCCGCATCTTGCGTTGTCCAACACCAGTACCGGTGTTCAACAAGCCCATGTCGATCTTGCCAGTGCGAGGATCCATAGCACTCGTGCGGATGGCCTCGCGCATTAGACGGCACGCCTCTTGAACGTCCTGCAACTCGACGTGCGCAGCAAAGCGCATGCGGGCATGGGCCTCAGAGAGGCGGATCATACTTTCAAGCTGGCGGGTTGTAGCGGTGATGCGTTTTTCAGATGAGCGGGGGTCTGAGGCGCCGATGGCACGCATGGAGACGTAGGAGGCGACGAGCTCGTCGCCTGCTTCAGAACTGAGGACGGGGTGAATGTTCGTTCGCGCAAAGTCGATGTATGCGGAGAGCTCGTCAAGGGGCTAAAAATAAATGAGCTCAGTGTGCGCAAAGAGTGATACAAGACAGACCAAAACATCGTAGCCACCAGTGCTGGGTGCATCTTCGAGGTACAACCCGACCAAATGTTGGGCGAGTTTTCGGTCGAGATTTTCGTCTACTTGGTCAAGTACTAGATATAGCAAGTCGAAACGCGAGATAAGGGTAGGAGGGAGGTCGATGTTGCGTGTGATAGGGAGGTCGACATTGTACTTTGATTCGACGGGGTTTGCAGCCGCAAGAATAGATGTACGGGCGTTGAGGGTGGTAATAATACCCGCTTTTGCGATTGACACGGTTTGTTGTTCCTGATGAATGTGTCAATAATATTCAAAGGAATATCTGGATGTGCCTGACCATGACTTCATGGAGGACACTCCGAGTCGCATCGGACATCTTGTCAAATTCATCGATGCAGCAGACACCGCCATCACTCAACACTAAGGCACCACTGCCAATCCGTGAGTAACAATATCCGAGATAACGACGCATGCGTTACCTCTCGAGGACAAGCTGCTTGGAATCAGGGTCCCGAGTCACATATGCGGTCAAACCAACTGCCGAGGAGCCTTTGCCAGATGCGTAGACTCCTCGAGGAGCGATTTTGTGGACGTACTAACAATGAATTTAGTTAGCTTCACAATACACACAGAGGCCGACATACCTGCAGAATCTGCGATTTACTGGTACCGGGATCACCGACCAAAAGCACGTTGATGTCCCCACGGTAGCGCGGCCCACCTCCGCCGCCACCTCTTGCGATACTCTTATTGGTGCCACCGAAGAGCTGGAGGAGGATACCTTTCTTCACGTCGTCCATTTCCCAAATCGACGGTGCGAGGGAACGGGATAGGAGATCATAAAGATCATGCCGCCTACTAAGTTCGATAAGCTTCGCCTCAAGTTCGGCTTTGCGTGTCAGTCCCCCTTGAGCAATTTGCTCCTCCAGTTCTTGATCATCGGCACTATCACCAACACCACCTATTCCCGGGACCTTGTCGCCACCCGCAGGACGTGTACTCCGGTCAAGGCCTAGAGTACCACCCGTGCTAAGTCGGACATGAACGACATCAAGGTAGGTCTTGAATAAGCTTTTCATCGTCCTTTGGCGGGGATTCACCCTCACAGGGACGCTGCGGTAGATACCGGTGACGACAACCCTGTCACCAGGCTTGCACACGTCAACGAGCTCGTCGTATACACTTAGTGACACAGTATGTGGCGTCTGACCATCAGGCACCGCGTCGGGAGTCTCTTGCAGCCGTATGACCTGCCTGTCTGCGAATTCACAGCGGTTGTGCACGAGAGACATCGTCCCTACAGTTCCACAGACGTCTCGTGGGCACCGAGCTGGCTCCTCGATCTTGCCACGGTCAATTTCGACTTGGACGGTATGAGAGCAGGTGAGGCAGCGGAAGAATGCGACCTTCATGTCTGGAATCACAGGTGTGGCGCGAATGACCAGGCCTTTTATAGAGATGAGCTTGTCGGTATCTGGAGCACATTCACATTAGGACGATTGAAGAATATTGGAAGGTTTGAACGACATACCAGATGGGTTGAGTTCACGCATATTCACGGCTGTTAACCCGAACGGACGAACTTTGTAGACTTTACCCATGATATCAGCGATCTCTTCATCGCCTTGGTCGCCCTGCATGCCGTCCATGCCAGCTTGCTGGTCCTCGTCCGCAAGTTCGAGCATGAGGTCCTTGAGAATCTGATCCATCGCGGGCACTACTTCCTGTGGGTATTTCTGGAGTTGCGCGAAGAGTTTTTTACACGGCGGATACGAAAGCAAGTTGATCATGTCGAGGTTGAGATTCGTTTCGCCCGTTTGGCGGACACGACGCATGTACGTCTCGTACAACACAACTTCGCCTTCGTCTGGGGTGGCAAATGCCCGAGTGCGGAGGTTCTCCTGACGATCGTGGATGGCGCGATATTTAGGCTTAAAACCACGCAAGAAGTCCCGGAAGAGCTTCATTGTCTCTGCCAAGTTCACGGTCGTTCCCCAGATAGCGCGGATTTCATCCGGTTCGTCAGAGGGCGCAGCGGGTGCCGAGAGATGTGGTACAGATGATGGAGGCATGGAGAGGTGTGTTCCATCTGAGTTGAGGTTGTCATTGAGATCGTTGTTATAATCGCCACGCTTCGCTCGCCGTGCGGTTGGTGTTAGAGAAAGGGAAGAGTGAATGTCCCCGCGACGGTTCTTGACTGGCGAAACAAGAGCAGCAGTCGGACTCCTGATGTATCATCAGCCAAATCGATAAAGATTCAATTGACAGCGGCTCACGAAGGAAAGGCAAGAGGTTCAGAGTCTGGGAAGACTGGATCAGAGTCGATCGCGACCCTTCTCCTGGGAGTCTTAGCAGGCGAAGAACTTGGGAATGCGAGGGGGGAGCTTCCGGCTAGGTCAAAAAATAAATGGCAGTCAATTGTATATTTAGGAAGCACTCACGAGCGAAAAGAGGTGTTCGTGGTGCTCGCCGAGGAGTGCTCATCCCAAGCGCCCGTCTGGCAGCGATACCGCTCATAGGTGTGGCTGCAACGCTGTTAGCATATCTTTGTCGCGCAGGAGTGCCTGCAGCAGAAGGTGTTCCAGGTAGAAAAAGACGCTGGGGTGGAGGAGCTATGGATAGTGATTGATCGATGGTGCCATCCTGAGGAGGCCCATCCATCTCGATGTCGTCGATATCCGACGTTGGAAAATCAACTCTAGGAGGAGATGACATTCTGAAAAGCAAGAGTTGAGTTGCCTACTACGTTGAAGCAATTGGATGAATGTTTGCAGAGCTTGGACGCGTCGCGACGCGTCAATTGTGTTTCTTCAGGGCAGGTCAAAGCCCGTCCACAAGCAGACTTAATTACAAGACTTACACTCCTTCTGCAACAGAATTGCTTCAGTTCATGGCAGTCGACACAGATTTAGAGGACGTCACTCAGGTGAGTTCTGCACAATGATCTATCCAAATGCCAATTGATTTTGGGTGTCAGACCACAGTCTACATACCCTTCAATGATTCTGGTAGCATAAATATACATTTGAACCGGAAAATGCAGCTGAAACCGGTGGTTTAGATCAGGTAGACAGCGATGCAGCACCACCGTCCCTGTTCCCCGAGCGAGATTTTCCCCAAGGATGTCAACTTCGCTTCCAAATATGCAGAGCAGCCTGGGGCAAATGTTTGAAGAGGATGCAGGTGTGTGTTCCACCCATTCTTCCTTTCGAGAGTCTCACATTACCAGGAACTCATCCACTCACTGCACGCGCCGGTAGTGGAGAGTGTTGTCGAGCAAGTGAAGAAGTCCTATACGGATGAACTTCCGGGACTACCATACCCCGAATTGCCAGTTGTATCTGTCACATGTGCGTTTGCTTGTTCGAGCGAAAAAAAAACTGCATTCCAATTCTTATTCTGACAGCATCCAGCACGTCATCTTCTCTCTTCGACGAGATTTCCTTCCGACTAGAGGAAAGCACCGACGAGCTTTTCGAAGATGCAAATGATCACTTCGTGACACATGTCTTTCCAAGTGATTGCACAACTATTACGGGGGCGATGAAGGCCATTGTCTCAGGTTTTGTATCCCGATCTCCTACGGGAGGACAAGGTGCTTGCGCGAGCCTCTTTGACCATCCAGTTGCTAATATTACAATGTCTTCAGACGTAAAACGGAAGCCATCTACCTCTCTAGCAGCATATGACATCGCTCTCCTTGAGGCATGGTATCGGGCTGTATGTGATGCGCGAGGTAAGGGGCTTGGTCAATCCATTTCCTGCTGTTCGCTGAGTAAAATTAAAAGATGATCGTCATAACAGATCACGTCTGGTGGTTATAATGCACGACTTCGAACAACTAGAGCCTCAGGTGGTTCAAGACATGTTTGAAATCTGCAGGTCAGACCGCTCTTGATGATGCTTGTCTTCTTATGAAACCGTTCATTAGCTCATACATTCTGCGTTTACCACTCGTATTTATCCTCGCGCTGGCTTCACCCCCTTCCCCATCTTACATTCACGCGACATATCCTCACTCTATGCTGGCATTGCTGCGAGTGAGAGACTGCCCTTTCCCGCTAGCTGAGGAGTCTTTGCACGACATTTTATTGGAGGTTTGTCGAATCTCGGCGTCACCCTTAATCACGCTGACAATATCTTACAAGACATTTTTTGATCCCATATTCGAGCCAGATGTCATGATGGGTCCAACAACTATTGACTTCGCAGTTGAGTTTTTTACTCGTCACAGCTCATCGCTTGACGGCCTGTTATCCATACTTCAAGTATGCTATTTCTTCTTGTGATGGATCATAATTAACGCAAGCAATCATAGCTCGCTCACATGAAACACTTTGAAGAGCCCCTCAGCGTCCTTGTCCCTGCTGAACCGCTAGGACGGCCCAAAGATGCTGCCAAAGTGCTCCTCACGCCTGATGCCTTCCCCTTCCTCGATGCCCTGTTTGCTCGGGTGCACGAGTCGACGCTCATTGCGCCGGTAGAACACGCTACCAGTTGGCGAATCGCCACTGTCGATTCAATCCTATCTTTAGTAGAGACTGCACGCAATGGTTTCCGAATGCACGCGAAGCTGCTCCGAATAGCATTTCGGCTCGTGCTCCTTGTCCGCCAACTTATGCTGGCGCATGGGTACAAAAACGCGCAAGGTGACCAAACAGTGCCCGATTTGATGTGCCTGGCGTTGCGTGGACGTCTAGGCAGTGTATACGGCTATTTGTGTTCTATAGTCAGGTGTGTGACTTTTGGCTGCACTATTGTCGAATGGGAACAGCTGATTGAGCTGTTGCTGTTCTCTGTAGGAAGCTTTCCGCAGCACAACTTGAAGACTTTGTGCGGGCCTTACATGATTTCTTCGGGGATGTTCCCGACGACGTAAGAGCAGAGGAAGACGAAGTGATCTCGCGTGTGGAAACGGCATATACGATGCTTGGTCGGGATGCAAGCGCCCAGGATATATCTGGTCCGCTCGGGAACTGGCTGTCGGAATATTTTAAGTATGCAAACGCACTGCGGTCATCATTGCAGTTGATTGATCTTAAGCTTTTGATCAGGTTACGCATAGTTGCACTGGAAGATGCACCATTGTGGGATATCTGGTACACCGGCTCGACGCCATTTCCGTCTGAGGTACTTACAACTAAATTTTTCTGTTATTAAATGAATGCAAGCTAATTCGCTCCCTGATTTCCCCCCTAGCTGATCAACCCATCGCCTCGCGCCTCGGTCCTCGCGGGATTGATCCATCCCCGGGACTACGCGTCTCCCGGGCAACGAGTTGGGGATGATGAGGATGATGAACTGCCCGACATAAGTATCCTATTCAAGGGCTACCTAGAAAGCGCGAAGATGATCAATGTCTATGACTGGTTTGAGTCATTCGTGGTCGTCTTGGAAGCTCGGAAACGGCGCTTAGGAAAGAACCGTGTTCCTGATGGTGCGAATGGAAACTCTAGGACACCGTCGAGGAAGAAGGGAAAACAGAAGGAGGTGGATGACGAGGTGGTCAATGAAGACGCGGAAGAAGACGAGGAGGAATGGCACATGGAGTTACAAGCGCGATTCATCCGCGCCCTTCAGGAACTAGACTACCTGGGATTCATCAAGCACACTGGGAGAAAAGCAGACCATGTCATGCGGACTGTTTTTGACTCACCGGAATGATCGAGTGGGTACCATATACTGATAGTTATATGGTTTTGCTGGTTAAACTGACATTACAATGAACTTTGTACACACGAAATGTAAAGATATGAATCAGGCACGCTCGGCATCAGCCGGCATCTAGTTTGTGGTTTACGTCGATCATCACCTCATCAACCACGGCAGTGAAGACGTCAACAAGATACGTCGAACACGATATTCTTACCCTCACAGGTCTGCTCAGAGCCAGAACCCACTGCCAGCGAAATCACTCAGGAGCGCGGATTAGCAAGAACTTAGAAACCTGAAGAAAGGGCAGCCAAGGATCTGCTCGTTGGTCCAGGGTCCGCCATAGATGAGACCTTGTGAGACCGGCGTCGTACCGCCGGCGTCACGACCGTCGCGTCCTGTCGTGTCAGATCGTGCACAACTTGGTGGTCTGCCAATCACGCAGATTTCAAATCCAAACGCTGATTCCGTCAATTGTAATTCGTGAGCCGTCGGGCTGTTCAGTTTATTCCAGCTTGAAATTCTCCCAACTGCACATCATTCCCATGTTCAACGATGTCACGGTGGCGCCAGTATGACTCTGAGTGCCGTTATTTTCATTGAACTATTATTGGCTGATGAGATATGTTTATTGGCATGTCCATTGAAGTGTTCGGGCGCCAGGCACAGGATATAATCGGTACAGCAAGCGGACGTGATTATTCTGATCGTTTTTCCTCTCAAGGTCGTAATAAGTTCGAACTCCGTTTACTACCTTTCCCGTCGCCTTGCTAACTTCTCTCTTTCGTTTTCAACTTTAAGTATCATCTGCACATACTCCGCTTTTCAAAAGCACCCCACACTCTCTTGAATAACGCTCATTCTCCACGGTAGAAAGCAATGTTCAGCAAGGTCGTCATTTCTCTCGCTCTCGCAGCCTCCGTGCTCGCCAACGTCTTCGTGCGTATTCATTCGTCGATTTCTTGTTCTTGTTCTTGATTTACCTGGCTGTGAAGATTACCTCCCCCGTGGCAACTACTACATTTACTGGTGGTCAGCAGGCGACTATCACCTGGCAGGACGATGGCCTGACTCCGAATCTCACCACTTTCGGCGCTGCACTCGTTGGTATCTACACTGGCAATGCCAACCAACAGGTTAGTCATTAATCTGACGTATATAATACAACGGTCTTATTTTTGCCAGACATTGCTGCAAACCGTCAGTGCCAGCGTTGACGTGTCAACCACTACATCAATCGTTTTCACCCCGGATGCGACCATTGGACCCAACAGCAATGAATAGTAAGAGACCCGTCCTTGATAACAGCCAGGCCGCTTAATATTTTTCAGCTTTGTTCGCTTCACGTCACTCAACCTGAAAGATGCTACGAACTCTCAATTCCCTGCTGAGGCCTTCTCTGCTAAATTCACGTGAGTAATTTTTACGTTTCATCAAAATCAACGTTCGCTCACCATGTGCTTCACAGGATGACTAGCATGACCGGAACTTTTAACTCTACTGTCCAAGCTGAAATCAACGGGCAATCCACAGCACCCATCGGCGCCACTGCAACTTCAAGCGCTTCGGGAACTATGAAGACCGTTGCCACGACCTCGGGCTCTGTCTCTGTCTCTGCCTCTGGCACAAAAACATCCACTTCAGCTTCGTCTACTGCTACCAAGACTGGCGCTGCTGGCAAGGTTGGCGTGACTGGTATCACGTGCTTCGTTGGCGCTGCTGCATCTCTCCTGGGGGCAGTCCTTCTGTGATCATCTTATCTTGATTTGCGTTCTCATCTTGGCTTATTTTCGTTCGATGTTTCATGGCATCATTTGGACAAAGATGGACTCGCGTGCTTTGATTTGATGCTCTTTACGAAGTTTTTTTGTGGATATAGCGTGGCAGTAGAGTATTCTTACAACGGGAAATGGAACACTAATTTCAATTGCTAATTCCTCTGCTTGCGTGTATGAGAACAATCGGCGAACACTATGCATGGGGGGTACTGGGTCTGACTACCAACATCAATTCTACTCCAAGGGATTCGTAAAGGTATCAGTCATGTTGCAAGAGGTTCGTGCTCGGCTCGCGCCAAATGAACATACATAGGCGTCACTGCCCTTTGGTGGCTCGGTTAGATCCCGAGTGCCAACCGCGCTGCAAAGAAGCAATGAATCCGTGCAGCGCAACTGAAATCTCCGCCAGCCTCGCGATGGCGTCTATAGCGGACAAGAAAATGGGCCTGTATACCAACGTTGCCTATCCACCATGAGGAGCTCCCCTACCTCTGCCACGCCCTCTCCTCGGCGGCCCACCTCTGCCAACATGTGGATCAGCAGCAGCAGGACCTTCAGGAACACGAGTAGGCTGAGGGCGTTGCATAATCATAGGGCTCCCAGGAGTGTGTCCATCCCCGCGCTGCAGAATACCGGAAACACCGGGGCTGGGAGAAGATGCCGCATAGGCATCCTTAGATTTGGCCGGAACAGATTTTTGCACAGGCTCGCTCGCGGGAGTTGGTTGAGCATCTTTCTCTCGTTTCTTTCCTCCGCTAGGGCCGACTGCACCATTTAACGCAGCCTCAAAGTGTCGTCCCAGACCAACAACTGGACGTCCTCTGCGAGTGCTTGCGGGTGGTGCAGCAGCCTCTGCACTGGCAGAAGGAGTAGGCTGTGCAGCTGGTTTGGGAGGGAGTGATGCAGCAGGGAGTTTAGGCGCCTGCTGGCGGCTCTGCGAGGGACGGCGTTGCCGAGGAGCAGGTACTTGCGAGGGAGGCTTGGCAGGCAGATTAGCCTTCCCTGCAAAGACGCCTTTCGCTGCGGGAGGAATCGTTTGTGCTGCCTGAGGAGGAGAAGTGGTTTTCTGTGCTGTTGATGCTGCGGCTGCGGCTGCGGCTTTCTTTGCCTTGCGACTTAGAGAAGCAGGTTTGGCTTCTGGCTGTTTCTGCGATGCTGCAGTGGGAGCGGCAGATTTCTTCTTGACTTCTTCTTTCCTGGCAGTAGATGAGGCGGCAGTGTCCTTGTAGTGAGCATGGTTACGGAGGATAGCTTCCTTATCCTTCTGAGCTGACTTCTCTGCTTTGAGCGCTTCGAGGAGAGGCGTAGTTTTCGGCGCGGCGGGTGGTTGGGATGCTGCAACTGCTCATAAAACTGATGTCAGAAAAACTTTTACCAGACATAACACGATACTCACTCAATGCTTCAAGGGACAAATGTTCGGACTTTTCAGCATCCTTGAGCGTTTCGAGGAAGGAAATATAATCTTCGTCTATAAGCCACTTGAGTATGATGAGAGCTCTACCGCTGATCCAACCGCACCTTTATCAATCGTCGCGTTCCTCGCATCGGCCTTTTTCTTCTCGGAGGGTATCTTCTGGAACGGAGCGAACTCCACTACTGCCTGGGACTCGTTGCCTGAAGCGAAGATCACTCAACTGCAACTGCGTAGCTACGTTCGATTATTACAAACCTGCCTTGTCCCTGAAGAGATGACCATCATATTCACGGCTAAAGGTCGCAAGCACTTCCTCATTCTTGAATGCGATATACGCCCGCGAAGGGACATTCTCCTGGTTTGCCCTACCAGCACACCGCATCACTGAGTCAGTCACGCCGCAAGCATACTGCAGTAGAACACACACCTCTTTCCCAGCTTCCCCGAATGATACACTTTCCAAGTGATAGAGTCATCCGTGACCCATGGTTGAACGCTCTGCCAGAATATCTCCTCGGGGAGATTGGGAGGTAGGCGGCGCACGACGGTTTTCAAGCGTTCGGTCGCATTAGCTGGGGCCTGAGGCTTGGGATCTTTCTGCTTCTGCTTAGCTTGATTGCGCTTGGGATCTGCAACGGACATCGAACTGCTACAGCACTTGCATACGAGGGGTTCCGCAGAATCTGTAGGTAGACAACAGTACATGCTTATTACGGTAATTTATTCTCACACAACTTACCTGAATTGCCTTCCTCAGGCGATGTCACACTGGTATCGAGGCAACGTTTCCTCGCCCCCCTCGTCCATATAACGGTTAAACAGTCTCTCCTAGCTAGATCAATCAACGGACGGCAGTCGTTCCTTCAAAAAAGTTAGCGCAAACGTCGAAGCGACCTCTCGACTCTCGAGGTCTAGCATCGAAGTACTAAGTATTATATGTAGGTGTTAAAAGCCATGCATGCAATGCAATGCGCTTGCGATGTCTATCATAGCTAGCAGCCCTGCTGCAGTAGACCGCAAGGAGAGGCCTAAATTTAAATTTGTCTGCTGAAGGCACTTAGCTGACGGCTTCTACATGACACTGGAGCATCGCGAGTTGCGTAACCGGTTCCTTGGTAGTCCCTCGGTCAGTTCTCAAGTATAAGTTGTAGGAATGACTATCGATATGTAAATTACAAAAAGCAAGTGCGATCTATAAATATAAGAATACTTCGTAGCATCAATTCAATGACACAACGAGCTTCACTTCAGACATACTTCGCATATTCCGGGTGGCAGAACACTCGACTTGTGGTGTCCCATCGACGCATCGCCTAAAGCCTTCCTGTGCTACACGTCACCGCCAGTTGATACATGCGTGCGCTCCTGGAAAGCAATTGTGGTTATGCCAGTTCCTACCTCGGAGTTGGCCACAAGCTTGGCATGATATTCTCGAATGCTTAGGATGAGGCGTGGACCCATCACAAACATCTGCATGGGCAAGGCGATTTGTCGAATGCCAAAATAAACCTGAACCCCCACGGAATTTGAGTTCTATAGAAATGATCAGCGTTCAAATGGAGATGTCAGTCACAGATTGACAAACAGAGATCTGCGGAGACAGCGAGCCAATGATGAAGCAAGGAACAGCGGCAAAGCTAGTGCATACGGGACGTCATTAGAGGGTAAATAATCACAATTAACTACGCACTCACACAGCAAAGTAAAGCGCGTGAGTTTTTATCAACACCGTGAAACAATCCTCGACGGTGGTCTGTCCTGTCGATGGTCCGAATCGCCGCAAATCGCGGAAGTGTTTAACGGAAACCCTAAGTGCAAGACACAGTGCAAGGACCTCCCATACACTACCCAGTATCCAAGTCACAATTACCAGCTTAAGCGTAGTGGATCCCCCACTGCCGACACACTGATAGGTGCCAGAGAGTGACCACTCCTCTGAGATACGTCCCATGAGTCTTGTTTGCTTAAGCCGTTCATCATAAGTAAAGCTTACCCCATGAATGATAACTGTGTTGTATTGCGGTAATCACTACACTGGGGATCGTGAGAGCTAGGAAGATTACAACAAGAAAGATGAGCATGATTCTGGATCGCTGATACATAGCATGTAACCGATTGATCATAATGACTTGTATAATATTTCGGTCAAATAAATCATTGAGGCACTGCAGTTGAGTAGCTCACCGCCCAGTAAAACATTTTCGACCACAGAAACACACGATTGTGCGATGAAAATGATGTTACCTGGAAAAAACCAGTCACTAATAAGCCTTGGGGTACTAAATGATTCAAATGAACTCACAGCTACTGCAGTCAATATATCGAACCCACATCTGATCGAGAATCTCACTCACCCCTAAATAGGGGAACTGTTAGTTAGATAGGAATGACGTGCGTTCAGTGCATGATACTGCTCACTAAATCTGTCAACGAGACTGACGGGAAACCCCCTGCATGCAGCCAGTTAGAAAAATGATCAGCGTGCGCGAGTAGACATACCCAGCATGGTGACGCTGATTTTGAGTGATGGGTTATTAGCGCCGTGCCAGCTTGTTAGCCTTGCAACGTACGAAGAGAATAGTATTCCACCATAGCGCACCTGGAATATTTAAAATCAGTACAACTTGCCAACTATACTTCTAGTATAAGCTACGTACACAGAGATACGTAACCGTCATGAGGGAGCAGCGTTGCCTCTGCCCCAAATTAACTTATCCTGTGATTCATCTGATATGGGATTCTGCTCACCCAGACTAGTTCAAGCTATAAAACCATTCTTAGTGGGACAGTTGCTCCAATAATCGCATCGTGGCACCAACCTCTTGTCCGAACGTCAACGCTGAAGCACGTCATAAGGACTCATCAGCGGTTTTAACAATCTCCTCGATAAGGATTATCTTGCTCACCCCAATCATATACTAGCATAGTACAAGAGGCGGCTGCACACAACCATAATCAAAATCAGAACATCATCCGACTTGCTCGTCACGAACCTGAAACATAGCTGGCCACCACATTGGAACTGATTAGTGGCCACAAACTAGGATCGTTTGAGACTACGGACATATTCGAGGGTTTGCCAGTGGACTTGATGATGTAGCGATGCCGCTCGTGCTAGATATACTATCGATCTGTGGGATGTCAAGTTGCCGCTTGATCAATCCGATGCGCGATCAAGGCAATGACATCCCACCACAAGTAAGGCCATCAGATCAGTGGCGAAAGAAGTGGGCCGTACTTAGCAGGAGCCTGACCGGGCCATCAGCGAACTATATGAAAATTTCGTTTAATGCGGCAATACATTGTAAAGCATCAAAACAATACACACTTATATATTGTCATGAAAGTTTTGCATTGCTGAGCGATGAGGATAAGGCTAATTTGCAAGCTCACCATGCTACATCTGAGACTAAACTCGACAATTATGACATTGCCAGTTCACAAATTAGTCAAGGTGGCGGATCAGAGTAGGTTCTCTCCATGTAGCCTAGGATGGCATCGTGCTAGGACTCTTCGGAAGTTCAGATCCATCAGTGAACGCATGAGTCCTGCAGCAAAATCATTGAAAACAGCGTTATCTTTGACTTCACCGGTCCTTTACCCACCATGTTTTTGAAATTTTTGATGTCACATCACATGCACACAGCGCCGTAAATTTGTAATTCAAAAAGGTAACGATAAGATCACTCACAGGATGCGACATTGCAATTGATGCGAGATTAAAACCACACGCTCATCAACCATCTTCTTCTCCATCATGATCGTCTTCTTGCTCGCTGTCATGAACCTCTGGCTGAACTCGCTCTGGCCTCGACACAGGTTTCTCAATTTCTCCCATCTTTGATTTGTTCCACCATAGCCTCCTATGGGGGGGGGGGGGTTCCACCGGACAAAATGTAAAAATAATCGTTTGTGGCAAACACAAACTTCGATGAAGAAGATAACATCCCGCAAGAAGTAAGGTCATCAGGTCAGTACTGGTGCCGAAGAAGTGGTGCCGTGGCGGGAGCTGATACATACCGATGATCTGTCTCTGCAAGACACTGCGTTCCATCGAGTCGACTGGGGGCGTGTGGCGAACACTGCGTCAATTTGAAATGGTGAGATTTTTTGACACATACGGGTATACGCCAGGCAGGTCACGAGCCTGGATCAAGGTGCCCCATGATCGCATTGCCATTCCACCAGTATCCCTGTATCACTCTCCAGATCAGTATACTAGTGCCAGAGAAGTGGTGTCATGGCGGGAACACAAGTCGTTGATCTGGGTTTACACGTTTAACACGGCAATACATTGTAAGGTCATCAAAACAATCCACACCTAAATATTGTCACGAAAGTTTGGTATTGCTGAGCGCTGAGGACAAGGCCAATTTGCAAGCACACCATGCTACATCTGAGACTAGACTCGAAGATTATGACATTGCCATTTCGCAAGTTAGTCAAGGTGGCGGATCAGAGTAGGTTTTCTCCATCATGTAGCCTATGCATCGGTGCTAGGACTCTTCAGATCAGTACTAGTGCCAGATAAGTGGCCTGGCACTAGGGCTGTGGCGGGAACGCAACTCGATGATCTATTGAGGTTACCATAATATGTTGTTAATATCGGTGCACTAGTGTGATCATCGAACAGACCAAGTGTTACCGCACTCAGCTTCCGCCATTTGGCCCCGCTGGTAGTGGATTCAAGTTGTCCATCGTACCTGTCGATAATCGACTTGTGTCATCGAGTGGGGTAGCGCGTATATATTATTATTATGGTCGCGCTCGAGTTCTGTAACCATACAATTGAACGCTGAAACGGTGTTTGCCATCATGATATCTGATGACGACTCTCAGCGATATGAAGCTTACATGAAAGTATAGACTAGGCTCGGTGCGGTTTGAGCACATTGGGAGCTTGCGAGCAAAACGATCAAACAAGTGCTTACTAAGCGGGGCGCGCGACTGCGCGTCTTATTCTCTTCTTTCATCTCCGAGTACTAGTCGCGCGCCGCAAGACTTTCTCACCCACCCTCCTCTTCCCTGTTTAGTGTCTTGGTACTTTTGGTTTGGTTTGTGCTTCTGTTCTCCCCTCAACTACCTCACACTCGAGGTCTCAGGTCCTGTTCTTCCCGTGCTCGTTGGCTCGTGTTTTACGTTCGCTCTCGATCGTTATCGTGTGCATAGCATTTTGTCACAACGTGTTGAGTCACGTGACCTGCAACATGCGCTCAGTCGACTGTCGTAAATACTTGTCATCGCGATCGTTAGCAATCAATTCACTTCAATCACTCTGAGCCCATGCGAACACGCAAAACAAAAATGCAGACCGCGACCTCCCCCCTCCCCACCCAACTGGCAAAATTTGTTATGTACAACTACATATACCGGCAGAGTGTCGAGAACGAAGTTCACACACTCAACGTTCCTCGCCCCCCTCGTGCATATATGTAACGGTTAAATAGTCTCTCCTAGCTAGATTAATCAACGGACGACCGTCGTTCTTTCAAAAAAAGTTACCGCAAACGTCAAAGCGACCCCTCAGCGCTCGAGATCTGGCGTCGAAGTACTTAAGTAGCTAAATACTAAGTATTATATGTAAGTGTTAAAAGCCATGGGATGCAATATACGGCTAGCAGCCTGCTCCAATAGACCGCAAGGAGAGGCCTAAATTTAAATTTGTCTGCTGAAGGCACTTAGCTGACGACTTCCACATGGCGCTGGAGCATCGCGAGTCGCGTACCCGGCTCCTTGGTGGTCCCTCGGTAGTAAGTCCTTCAAGTTGAGATTAAAGGAATATTTATAACAAGCAAGCAGTGCGGTCTATTGACATAAGAATACAACTGCGTAGCACCAAATCAATTACACAACGAAACTCCAGACATACTTCGCACATTACATGTGGCAGAACACTCGACACCTGGTGACTCATCGACGCATGACTTGAAGCACTTCCCGTGTTACATCAGTGTCACCACCAGTTGATACGTGCGTGCGCTCCTGGAAAGCAATGGTGGTTATGCCAGTTCCTGCCTCGGAATTGACCACAACCTTGGCATAATATTCTCGAATGCTTAAGATGAGGCGTGGGCCTAGCACGAACATCTGCACGGGCAAGGAAATCTGGAGAATGCCACCATAAGCCTGAACTCCCACAGAAGATGAATCCTAGAAAATTATCAGCGGTAAAATGGAGATGTCAGTCACAAATTGACAAACAGAGATCTGCGGAGACAGCGAGCCGATGATGAAGCAAGGAACAGCGGCAAAGCTAGCACGTTCGGAACATCAGCAGAGGGGAAATAATCACACTTGAATTATGAACTCACGCAGCAAAGTAGAGCACGTGAGTTTTTATCAACACCGTGAAACAGTCCTCGATGGTGGTCTGTCCTGTCGATGGTCCGAATCGCCGCAAATCGCGGAAGTGTTTAACGGAAACCCTAAGTGCAAGACACAGTGCAAGGACCTCCCAGACACTACCCAGTATCCAAGTCACGACTGTCAACTTGATCGCGGATCCCCCAATTTCGATACACTGATAGGTGCCAGACAGAACGAACTCCTCTGTGATACGTCACATGAGCCCTGGTTTGCTTAATCCGTTCGTCATAATTAAAGCTTACCCCATAAATGATAGCTGCCTAGTATTCCCGTGGTCACTATACTGGGGATTGTGAGAGTCACGAAGACGACAACAAGAAAGATGAGCATGATTCTGGATCCCTGATACATAGCATGTAACCGAGTGATCATGATGACTTGTATAATATTTCAGTCAAATCAATCATCGAGCCTTGAGGTGCTGCGGTTGAGTAGCTCACCGCCTAGTATAGCATTTTCAACCACAGAGGTCCATGATCGTGCGAGGGAAAAAGTTTTGCCTAGAAAACCCAACTACCAATGAGCCCCGGAGTGCCAAATAATTCAAATGAACTCACAGCTGCTGCAGTCATTATCTTGAACCAACAAGTTGATCGAAAATCTCACTCACCCCTAAACAAGAGTACAGTTAATTGGATGGGAATGGCATCAGTGCATACTATTACTCACTAAATTCGTCACCGAGATTGACGGGAGACCCTCTGTATAGAGGTTAAAATAAATGATCGGTGTGTGCGAGTACACATACCCAGCATGGTGACGCTGATTTGAGTGACGGATTATTAGCGCCGTGCCAGCTTGATAGCCTTTCAAACGTACAAAGAGTATAGTATTCCACCATAGCGCACCTGGAATATTTAAAATCAGTACAACTTGCCATCTGTGCTTACAGTATAAGCTACGTACACAGAGATACATAACTGTCATGAGGGAACAGCGTTGCCTCTGCCTCAAATTAACTTGTCCTGTCATTCATCTGATACAGGATTCTGCTCACCCAGATTAGTTGAAGCTATAAAACCATTCTTAGTGAGACGGCTACTCCAATAATTGCATCGTGGCACCAACCTCTTGTCCGAACATCAATGCTGGAGCATATCACAGGGATTCATCGGCGGTTTCAACAATCCCCTCAATAAGGATTATCTTGCTCACCCCAATCATATACTAGCATAGTACAAGAGGCGGCTGCACACAACCATAATCAAAATTAGAGCATCGTCCGACTTGCTCGTCACAAACCTGAAATATAGCTGGCCACCACATTGGCATTGATATGTGGCCACCAACTAGGATCGTTTGAGACTACGGTCATCTTCAAGGTAGTCTCCCTTAGTCAGACCACCAGAGGATGAAGACAGTCGTTCCTTTGATCTTCAAGGGCTTGCCAGTAAATGTCAGTGGAGTCGATGTCACGGTACTACGTGTGAAATAGCGATGCCTGTCGGTGTTTATGTAATCAGTTTGCATTAGTTTACACCGCGATCAAGGTTATAACGTTAGACTCGCGACTAGTCTGACTATGGGTCAATTTGAGATGGCGAGAATTTTGACGCTCAAGCATCCGCGGTGATATGCGCTTGGTATATATGCCAGCCTGAGGCTGGTCATGGGCCTAGATCAAGGTGCTGCATGATCGCATCGACGTTCCACAGGTATCACCATATCAGTCTTCAAATCAGCACCTCAGTACTTCAGTGCTAGTACTGCGGAGAAGTAGCCCTTGAATATGATGAGCGGTCTCTAAATTCTCGATGTAATGAGCTCTAGAAGATAGGATACCGTCAGATGGTGGCGATGAGCATATGATAGTCCGTGACCAAAACGAGGCCAAAAATTCGTCTGAACTTGGCAAAATATAAAGGGACCGACAAAGATGACATCCCATCGACCAGTCAATAGCATTGACAACCAAACATACGAAAAGCTGTCAAGAAATAAAATATACGTGAAATTGTTCAGGTATCGCAAAATCGTCAAGTCACATCAAAAATGTCACTGCAGGGAGGGGTATTCAAAGAAGAAAATAAAGGTATCGCAATCACAGCCCCTCTCTAAACCTCCAACACTTTTTAGAATACAAGAGCACCAGCAAAGGCGAGGATGAGACCACCCGCCAACGAGGTTGAAGCACCAGTGCGGATGGCAGCGCCAGATTGGGTGGCCGATGTTGTTGCGCTTGTGGCAGTGCTTGAGGTGCTGTGGGTGGTCGTGCCTGACGAAGTAGTTGAAGGCACGGTGAGGGTGCTGAAACCGGAAGATATACCGGACGAAATGGGCGTCGTGATGGTAGTAGCGGTTGAATAGCTACTGGCAGTCACGGTGCCAGTGATGGAATCGGCTACAGAGGTGGTCATACTGGTTGAGGATCCAACAGCGGAAGAGGTTATAGCAGAACTACCTCCAGAAGTTGAAGATCCCCCAACAGTAGTACCTGTAGAGGTCGAATTTCCAGATGTGATAGTGGTTCCAACAGTAGTAGAACTACCTGAGCCAGAACCAGTCATACCATCCAGGCTGTGGGGATTGTCAGCGTGTGGCATGTTGAAGCGAGGAAAGGACTGACGTGAAAGTGCCAGACCAGCCCTGGTAGCTTATGGCGGTTGAGGTGAACACCAGGTAGCTGCGTCGATCATTTAGATGCAAGTTATATTTAGATAGAAATGATTTGAACACACTAGCCGCCATTATCGCCGACAGATGGGTCGGGCTGTACAATTACGCACGGTGATTAGAGAAGCGAGAAATATGAAATGAAAGACACGTACAGTGAACGAGAAGGAATGCGTGTCGGCAACGTTGACGGATGTAAGCGACTGCACGAGGACCTATGCGACAACACGGGTGAGTCAAGTCCACTGGGGCTGCACGCTTTATTACCATCTCGCCGTTGTACAAGCCAACGGTGCATTCTCCAATGTCGCTCAAGAGGGGGCTGCTGCCGTCGTCAACCCAATCAACCTCGCAGGACTGACCAGCATGGCAAACGGTTGATTGTACAGGGTTGGTTACCTGTACGAATGACTGTCAGAAGAAGCGAAAGAGAGAATGGGGCGACGACTGACATAGACAGAGGCTTGAACAAGCGCGAGACGGGTAGCAACAAGGAGAGCAAGAGAAGCAAGAGTCTTGAACGTGGACATCGTAAAAGGGGTTGATTTTAGTACAGACAGGGATTTTATTCTGGGCTAGGTGGGCTACAAGAGCAAGAGCTGAAGGATTGTAATGAAAGAACGTTGAATTTATGGGCACAGGGAAGCGAGCAACGTTGTAACCCCGTGAATGGGATGGGTGTTGACAATTTATAACAAAGAAAGTTGATAGTTCTATTACGTATCAGTTAGAAGTCTCACGTTGAAAGACCGCTCGATTTGATTTCCTAGTTTCGAACGGAATGCTAGAATTGAGGGCCATGAGGCGGCATTCCGGATAAGTGGTTGACGATGTCGGTCTCGGCCTCGGATACTGGAGGGAGGAGGAGTACTGGCCCTCAGAGGACAGCAATCAGCGTGGAATTCATAACCGAAGAGGCTACGAGGTTGTCATCGCCGACCTCCATTTGATCATGTAGACTTCTAGTTGAATCAAGGGTCACCACGAGGAATCCACTGCAGCATAGCTAGTGAGCGACTCATCCAAGCAGCCAAAGCACTCTTTCACCGCTCCGATCGAGAGTCACGGTGTAGTAGTACCGTTGCGCATTATACCCGAAACCGACGAGAAAGGGAGGCAGATTTCTAGGTGCTGCATGACACGTCACATCCGTGAGGATGGATTGCTCCGAAATATATCCCGGCGTAAGTTGAAAATTTCTGGTTGCACCACCTGTGACGAACACCAGCAACGTCGACTCCATATGATGTGTGATAACACGGTGATTTGTGTTGAACGTGTGTCCAAGCCTGTGACCGTTGAGAAGGCCCTCATGACATCAACGGCAGATCAACGTTGCCAGGGTTAATGGCCGCAAATTTCCGGCGGCATCTCGTATACAGCTTTCGACATCCATCGTGACGCGTCGGCTCATAAATGACATGCCATGCATTTGCGAATCTGGGTTCGAAAGAAAGAGATTTGCCGCTGCATGCTGCAAATGTCATGGTCGTGGATCTGATTCTCGAGGTACAGAGTCAAGTGCCCATGTCATTCATGGTTCCCGTCAGGCCAGGTCAGGCCCTCCTCTCAATCAATCGCTCACCGCGGCGTTAACGGAGACTCGCATTTTCACATATGATGTCAATGTCGTTTGGTGATAATCTCAGGCTTCAGCGCTTCAGCACTTATCAAGTTTTTAGCTTTCCACGATCTGTCCTTTCTTTTGGGACCCAATCGCCGACTAAAAGTCATCAAATCGACAGACGTCGTCGTTCTCGAGTATACACCATAATCAAGAAGGAACGACTGTCTTCCTTCTATATGGTCTGGCCAGGGGAGACTAAGTATACACATTGGCCCAGGACGGGATCCCAGCATGGCTGATCCGACAGGCTCTATCTACGATATTCCTGCGTCCAGAGACAAAATCGTAACCATGGATAGTAGGTTGACGTCAACAAGACTTCTGGTAATCATCGCTTGACGGACATGAATATATAACGAATTACCCATTCCTGCATCCTCCCATTCCTGAGCGCTCCACTACATGTTGTCTTGTCCCACATCCACATCCACAGAACCAAAAAAGCAACTTAATAGCCGACACAATGGACAACAAAGACGGCGCCTCGGGTCCATTGCGGCCACAAGATGTGGCAATACTTGTCGCAAGCGCAGAATAAAAAGGCGCACAACGTCGACGTTATTCTGTCAATAAAAAAAATATTCGCCAACGACCCTCACATACCATGTCAACTACCCCAATACCAACGAGAGGGCCTGGTGATGTGTCGCAGGTGTACGGCGACGACTGGTCGGACAAAGAAGTCTTTCTACAGGCCACTGGGTTACACAAAGACTCTGACCGCTGTCATCCCAGACACGTCCTCATCTACTGGGTCAACGCCGCTCTCACCGGCGGCTTCGAAGTCTGGGACATCACCCAGCTCGAAATGCACGGCCGCTGGCACCAGTACCATTACCCCAACGCCCTCAAAATCAACTCAAAGGAACGCACGCGCAACCAGACTATATCCTTGGGAATATTCACATCGGAACAGCGCGAGCAACTGCTCGAGCTCGCAGCGGATGTAGAGTATGATCAAGTCACCACCGAAAGTCGCGTCTGGATGCGTCACCTCCTCGCGAAGATGGTGGAAGAAAACCTCATCTCTCATCGTTTATTTAATACCGTCCGGGAGGACGTACCTCTTCCTTCTGCGTGACATGAAGGTCAGGGTTGCGGAATTTTGGTTCTCCCGGAAAATGAGCTCAAGGTTTCCTTTGATTTGTTGACAGGATGATTTATTGTTTGATATGAGCATGCTGGACTCCACTGCCCACGACGTTCTCGGAGAATTCGTACTTTGTGAACCACTACAATATTATATGTATCGTACTGCTTAGTTTTTCTTAATATGTATATACGTATTTATGATGTATGCATTTTATCATTCGCGCAAGCTTGCAGATTCCCGATCTCCCGTCCCCCGTTAATTACACAGGGACTGGGAGGCTCGGAGGTGATTTGTGTCACGCACGATTTCTTCAAATTTTGTTTGGGGAGGGTAAGAATTTCCACTACTAAAACAAGGCAGCTAGGTCAGATAATAGAGTGACCCCCCACATGCACATAGTCATTCATTCTTCCCCTTGGTAGAACGATGCAGTAAGTGGCAGAATCGAAGAGAGCGCTGGTGAGTCTTTGCCGTAATAAGCCTGGGCCATTGGAAACCCTCAGCTTGTATCGGTCCCTATCATCGCGCAAAGCCGACACGCTCGATTACGCTTTAATTCTCCCTGAAATCCGATGCAACATTTTCGAGTTCTTGAATCCTTTTCTTTCAGGACCCGAAGGCTCTCATGAGCCTAATCCACTTCGTCTGCAGGACCTCGCAGAAGTTGCAATAACGTGCCATGCGTCGAGCGCTCGACGTGCTATGGGAAACCCAAGTCATTGTCGCTGTGCATGCCGCTGTCCGCCGTTGAAGTTCGGGACAATGATTCCGAACTAAGCGCAGATCAGCGTTATCATAATTAGGATCAACCATTGCTGCGCCGGAACATCGCAAGTGCCATCGATCATATCCTCCCCCTGACCGTTATGTGCTCTCACGAATGGTTCCTGCACCTGACTAAACACCCTTTGCTCTCGGATTTGTTACGCATGCTTCCTTGGTTCGCGGTCGACGATTGGTGGCAGAATATGCGCATGCTCTACTCCGGTATAATTGCGCCTCTGTGCTTGTTTCGCAACTTAGAGCATCTGGATATTATGATCAGCGGTTCCGAAGATCCTGAGCTCGCTGGCCCTCAGACATTCCATTGTTTGCAGAAACTAGCATTGTCAAACGATTACAATTTCGCCGTTGGTTCGCTGACAGCATTACAGTCAACGGTGCTCCATACCGTTGACTATGGAGCACAGCTCTGGGGACCACAGTGAAAGTTTAGATCGTCATTGACACTTTTCGTCCTTGCGACGTCTACGCACCTAGAGACTGTGTGATGGGAGATTTCGGCGCTCCGAAATTCCACCTTATCGCCTCTTCAGCTGCCTCCTCGTTCTCTTCTGCGATCCGGTACGACCAGAGGCTGTCTCTTCACGCTCGCAAGACGTTCCAGTGCGCCAATCCTGAATGCGGACGGAGCACGTTGTTGAGTGGGTTCCGAAGAATCAGAAACGGAATCGGAAGACTGATAACTTGGCCCATATGCTGGAGCCGACCGAATCGGCATGTCAGTGCATCCGGGGAAAGCAACAATCTCATTTTCATCAGTGACCGAGGCAGACGGTGACTCTCCGGTTGGCAGCGATGTAGGGAAAAATAACTTGAGAGGGCGTTTCTGGGTGTTGATGGATTGTGGTTTTCCCCGCTTGATGAGGCCATGCTCTGGCTCGTCGAGGTCAAATAACATGGGAAGATCATCTTCATCAGTGGCGAACTGCCGCCAGTCCGGTTCGGGTTCTTTGTTTGTGATGTGGGCGAACGGCAGGTTTCTCGTTGATTTCTTGTTCAATGCCCATAGCAGATCGAGCTTCGTCGACTGCGCTCGAATGCTCTCGAGGCCTGCACGGAGGTGTTGTATGAGATCGGGGAGAGGCATGCGGTAGCTCAGGAGAGAAGGCGACATAACATACGTCCAGTCTTTGTCCATGTCAGAAGAGGAGATGTAAATGAACATTATCCTGATGACGTACCTTGAAGGATTAGATGCTCGGTAGACGCAGGATTCGATACCAGCCCCAGATTAGACGGTGCTATCGAAGATGCCAAGCTAGCGAGTTTCAACCTCTGGACCGAACGATCAGGTTTTTTCTTGGGGTTCCTAGCAACGTTCGAGGATGCTGATTCTTGAGGCCCAGGCCCAAGCCCAGGCTCAGGCTCCTTGCTCACTCGCCTGCCTTCCACGTTGTCTTTCGGCTCAGCATCAGCACCCCGGGCAACAATAAGCTCAAACGCAGACCTGATGCGCATCGCGATCCTGTTGCGCACCACCGCCCGTTTATCCGTCTTCTTTTTCGCAATCATGAAGAATATGCTCATGTCTAAGCTCTTGGGACCGTTCTTCCGGTTCCTGTCAGTGTGCAGCACCATAGGAGAGCGTTCCGCCTGAGACGCGCATCCCCGGGAATCTGGGAGTGGAAGTGCACCTTTGGGTACGGCGCGTAGCGTGAATGCGGGACAGGAGAAATGTGGAAATGCTTGGGCTTTCCACCGGGTGGCGGGGTGCGTTGGGTCGACGGTGCGGGCGGGGTTGTAGGGCGCCGTACCAGGGAAAAGTAATGGAAGAGGGGAGCCGGGTGTTACATTGCGACGCTGCAAGGAAACTGGATGAGATGATCTCAATGTGATGTGAAAGAGAGGACGCACGTTGATTGAACGAAGACCTGGAGCTTTGGGCAATCTGGAGAGGTCAAGACATTTGTGCATGTAGCTCGCCAGGTTAACCGATGGCAATTATAATTCACCGTACTAGTGTTTGGCTGGCGTAGCACTAGCTAGAATATAGCCTCAAAGTAAGTATTACTCTGAGGTCGTGCCAGTGTATTCTTTCAAAGGTTACTCGGCGAGTCGGAGTTTCAACATCTTGTAGGACATACAGAATGACGGGATGGCCTAGGTGTGCTCCAACAAATCCTGGGGCATTGCAACAATTTTCCTTATGTATCCTTAAATCTCCTTTGGCGCCTGGTATACCAAGCTTAGACTAAGGTGAAATGAATACTCCGAATTTTTCCTAATATGGGCGAAAACAGGAAGTGGTGAGAGGGCCTCAGGACACTGGGCGCTGCAGCATCACCAAAATTCCCCAAGTCTGAAATTACCTTATGCGGACACTTTCCCGCGCCACAATCTTTTACGGGCTGATGACGCGATGACGATTGATGACAATGGGCTCGCAGGTTCAACGACACTCCCTCAGACATACCTCAATCCCAGTAAGAACTGGTTGTGACGGGAGGGGACCACAGGTGCTGAGAAGTTAGTTACCTTATTTGTACTATGTCAGAATCTGCTGAATCATGAGAAGTTTAGTTACGTTTTGCAAAACGACGTCGTATCGCATCACACGCACTAACATTGCATTGCTTCGCATCGACATCGCATCGCACGCACGCACGCACATCGCATTGCTTCGCATCGACATCGCATCATACATCGTATCGCTTCGCTTCGACATTGTATCGCTAACATTGCAATATGTTACCTGCCTCGAGCTCGTAGCACCCCAAAGCCATATATAAATTGTTGGGGCCGAATTTCTGCTGCCCCACCTTTCTTCCTCCCCACCATCTTCCCACCTCTATGTTGAAGGTCCCGCCGCTTGCCTCCGCTAGTTCCACCTTGCGAGTTTCTCGTGTGTCGTTTATCTGAAGGTGTGACCATGCTGACCATACGAGTTTAGAACAGCGGATGACCGCCATGATGTTGAGTCTGTATCACGGGAATCATACTAGTACTGTCCTTGGATAGTGCGAGGCTGTCATTTTCATGCGCATATATCCATGACACTGACTGATATGGATATGACGAGGAACCAGCTGCACTCGTAAGTCCTTGATTCTCTCGATGGACTTCTAATCCATCATCTACTAGGTCGCTACCGATAAATGGACTAAAGCTGCTTTTCAATGTGTTTTTGCACTTTTCTATACCCTATTCCTGTAGCGGCTGCAAATAATACCAGTTACTGCATGACAACTTCGAGACATATGTGATACTATTTGAGCATATGTGCAAAGGTAGCAGGACTGCTAGCGGATGTGCTTAGATGTGCTCGATGCGAAAGTACACACATGGTAACATATAGGACATTGCCCCGTCTTATTAACACTGTCCGAGTACTGTAGAGATACGACACTAGGTTCGTCACAGGTCACAGCCATCAACGAATCGAACCTATTTGGTGTGACTGTCACACCAATTTTTTGGGGGCCGAAGCTAATTTGTGACATGTGGTAAAAACATACAGAAAAACATATAAAAAACATACAAAAAACATATAAAAAACAACAATGTCCAGCTAGATTCTACCTGTTACTTCTCAACTTTATAATAAGATATGAATCAGACAAGAAGCCTTGACAAAATCACAATTTCCGAAGCTATTTTTTATGTGGTCACAGGTGACAGGGTAATTCGAAGCTGTGACACTAAGCGTGACTTTGTCACGTGCTGCACGTGACGAAGCTAGTGTCGTATCTCTACAGTATGGGGCGCTGTGGACTCGTATGTGTTCCTATATGTGTCCCGCCTGAACGACACATCTCAACCTATCGAGGCTCATCCCAACATAACCGGTTTTCACTGGGCCTCAATACCCTCCTAAACGTGTAAGGCCGCCATCAGTCTGATGCGCCCCTGGTAAGTTCAAATTTCCCCTGATATTCCACAACCAGCTCCGATAGATATATACGTGGGGGACGTTAATTCTCAGAATGCTTCCACTCATGCCTTTCTTTGGCAGGCGTCTCTCGTACGACGGAGCATTTTGACTTCTGCAGAACTTAACCCATGATTTCTTTTTTCCAGGACGCTTCGACCAGACCTGGCACAGGGTTTGCCTTTCACGCCACCGTCAGATTTCCGCTCAGAAAGCCAGTGATTCCAATTCCTCCAGTCCGTCTTTTCAGTCAAACTATTGTGCACGTCTCGAAAATTAGTCTGATTCACGCCACTCTGAAACCGTCGACTTCAACTCTCCGGTAAGTAGATATCATATATGCGCATTTTCCTGTTGAATCAAAGGATTTTTTCCATAGAATATCCTCGAACCACTTCCGCTCGGTGATGGACCTGAGAAATTGATCCTCGCAAGACAAGCACTTCTTGCCACGCTTCTTCTCCCTGCTCATATCCCAGATAACGCTCTAAACCCAATCCTCATTCCTCCACTGTTAGTAAGTCACACTCGACCTCCCGAGCAAAAATATTTTGAAAACTTTTGTAGCATTGGCACTATACTCGCAATCACCATCCCTCAAGTACCTGTTGTGTCATTCAATAGCTCCATGCCTCTGGTTGCTGCCACTGGGAACTACAATGCCTCGATTCCCAGCAAATTTCTCCCTTCCGGCACACGCAGTTTATCCAAGTTGATACCACCGCTAATATAATTCCCCTTACATTCAACTACATGTCTGCTGAAGTTCGGGATCCAACACGAATCTACAAGTCGGTACGGCTTACTTTGGAAAAGACACCCTCCCCGCCAAGTTATTCGAAGATCCAGGTCCTGCTCAACTTCTTGTATATTGCATCGAACGACTCGGATCCGACGTGGAATGTCTGCATTGTGGTATGCGTGATGCTTTCCGTGTACGCAGTGTTTGACTTGCTTATGCTGGGGACATGAAATCAGTATATGCAATGCACCATGTGTCTTGTACTATGTGACAGTCTGTAAATGTCTTGTTAATCCACTAGGTTGACCATCCCAGCGACCACGGGGACGAAGTAATGTATAGGTTCATCATTTCACAAAGCCGTCGAGAAAGTCATGTATCTGAATTTCAATGAATGCTATGTATGATGGCAGACGTCTATCAGTAGCAAAGTATCTTCAAATACATGCAATAGTAGTCTCTTATATTGCAGCGAAGAGGTTCTGAAGGGGTGACCGGTGACCGCTTAGCGGGCGCGGGAAGCAGCAGTACTCGTTCGCTAAGTGTGCGAAAGACACGAGAAACACCTTGCTAGACGTGCAAAGCAGCTAATGTCTGGAACATATTCAACGTCCATCGGAGAAGGGGGTCTGTTGGTTGCAGCAGAAGTACTCGTACTTCCGGTCTGCAAGGTTGCTGAGGTAGTTCCATCAGTCACATTGGATGTGCCCAATGGGGGTGCGCTGCTGCTCGAAGCACCAGCATTCGCTACACCAGTGTTGGAAGTGTGGGCTGGTTGGGGAGGGGGACGTGGTCGCTGCACCACATGCCGTTTCCCGCTGATGGCGTTAGCGGTGCACTGCGAGAATGTCATGAAGGGATCATGGATTGCCACAGCTCAGGAAACTTACGTATTTGCCCCGAGTTGCGAAGACATCCACAGTGGGGTTCCTGCTGGGGAGGGGAGTATCACCCTGAGGAGCGGAAGAGCGAGAAAAGAGACGATTCATGATGTTTTTTTTTTCATTCGTGAGCCTTCGGCATGGCGCGTGGTTGCAGTAGTGCGATTGTTGCGTCCAGGTGGGGAATGCGTATCAAACTGCAGAAGGATGATGAGATGTGCATTGAGACTACCCCATGGTACGGCAGAACGTTGAGTAATGGTAGTGAATTTGATAATCACGTGCGTCATTGATACGTGAACCAAACACCACGTCAATAACACCAAATATTGATAACACTATCTCATCGGCGGTCGTGTCCTAAGTTCTAACCCTTAGCCCTACCACCATGTCAGCCTGTCGCACTCAAGCTCCTCTGATCCCCTATTTGATTATTTCTCGTCGTATGAAGCTTTCACTTGGAAAGTGTAAATTGTAAGCACACTGCATACATCCATCGGAGTCATCACCAGGGCCCTTGAAAGTCAGAAAATGGAACTTTGGAGGGGTAAGCAACCACATAACGAAGTTGAAAGAGCAAAATAAAGTAGTCTAAGCATCCACAATTGTGAGTTCTCAGATTACATGTCAAAATATAGCGCATATATTGACTTTATTCGATCTCGTAGTCTTTTGACACCCGACCTCCCTCAGCTTAGGTGAGTGATGTGATCCGAACATGGGCGCTAACTATCTTAGACTAAGTCTATCTCTCGTGTGTTGCTATGCAAAAGCCACGGTGAGCCGCCAGCCCTATGTCATGTGCTTCGCGAGCTCAACATAACTCACTCCGCCGTCGGAAAATGCTGTTGTCAAATCAAACCCTGTACGCCTCGTCTCGCATCTTATGTTCACACAGCGGTACCGCAATGCTGCGTTCGCTGGTGGAGAGGAAAGGTGTTGTTTGATTAATTTGATGGCTGTTGTAGAGTTCTTGGAGAATGTGGATCTTGGTGCTGTGGGTGTTGGGAAGGGTGTTGGTATTGTTAGGTGGGTGTTCAAGCTTTTCGATCCCTCCATCTCGTGGGTTTGCTTGATTCAAGCCGCTGTTCCTTGTTTCCCGTACTCTAATATCCATTCTCATTCGATGCGCTAACATTGATTGTCTACAGCACCGCAGACCTCACTCCAATCCCAATTGTACGCACCACACTTCCACCAGACGCACCTGCAGACGCGCCGGGCAGCCCCCACGGACGCGTAGAACAAGGTGTCGATGCCATCGCTGGGTCTGCTAATAAAGTAATGATGGGCGTCGTAGACAGCTCATTCGGCGTCCTCCGCTCATTCCTACCATCTGCACCCAGCGCAACATCTGCTCTTACTTCAGCATCTGCTGTAAACCCAATATTCACGTCTGCCCCTGCTACAGAGACCAGCGACGCGCAGTGGAACATGGACCACGTACACCGAGCCCTCGCTGGTATACCTGCACCCGTCTGTTGTCTTCAATGCAGATTCGGACGGGAATTCAGAGCCAGGCTGCTGACAACGAGGGCATGTCTCGTCCGATCATCGCATGTTTCCTTCTTGTTGTCGTTGTCATACTGAGCCTCCTTCAGAAGCTTTGGCGCGTGTCTGCCTCTTAGAGAAGCCCTGGTGCACGTTCTGCTCTTAGATGTACTTTTACTGTCTGCGCATACCATGTAATACAATACCGAAATGAAGTGTTCTTATCAGAATCCAATACCAGATCAGAACATATAAGTAGCATTGCCATATCAATGCTTATAAGCTCAAAATCTATGCTAAGGTATGAGTTACTTACCCAACCTCCGCCATCTTACCTTCAATTGAGTTTCTCAACCAGATCTTATACGTCGGTTCCCCCGCCTTCCGCGCGCTGATACACCTGGTGCACCTTTTGTGACCTTGCGCATCCTGGTCAGTCATTATCAGCCCTTATCCGAGTTGGGGAATTTCGGTGATGAGACGCGCGATAGCAAAGTGCTTAACCTCATACACGAGCAGAAAATACCTTGCCGAAGGTGCTGGAGGTCTCGACCTCTGCTGCAAGCGAGGTAACGCACGTATCTTGTTCATCTCAACATCTGGAAGCCGAAGTACTTCGAGTTCGGAAGGGCACCTACGACTCAGTTAGGACTCCATCACCCACTGTTCTTCTCTTCTGCTGGATCATGTTGCCACTCACCAGTCTTACTTGGCTGGACTTATGTCTTGCTGGTGTCGCAGTGTATAGTAGGTGTTTAAAAGGAAGAACCCTGTATCATGACCCCCTGGCCCCCCGGGATGGCCTCTCGTTGGGAACGTCACAGACATGCCTCGCATCAAGCCCTGGCTGACCTTCACCGAGTGGGGCAAGAAGTATGGTGAGTGCCTCCTGTTGTTCCAAAATCATGCACTTCAACCCCCGTGCCGTGCAGGTGATATCTCGCATGTAGAGGTTCTGGGCCAGCACATCATCGTGCTGAATTCTGTCAAGACTGCGATGGAAATGCTGGACAAGAAGAGTACTATATACTCTGACCATCCTGTCCTTCCGATGTGCAGTGAACTTGTTGGCTGGAATCTCACTTTGGGTCTTCTCCCTTATGGCGACCGTTTTCGCTGGTACAAGAACTTCCACCGCGTCATTGGCAGTCGCGCCGCCGTGGATATCTACAACCCGATAGAGGAGATTGAGACTCGTCGATTTCTGAAGCGTGTACTTATGACACCCGACCAACTCCAGGCACATGTTCGACAGTACGTTTCATTGATCATTAAAATTTCGCTTGATCTTCAATTGTCTTAGCACCGCTGGCGCTATCATTCTGCGAATTTCTCATGGTTATGAAGTGAAGGAGAACGACGATCCCTTCATCAACCTTGCAGACCGCGCTATGGACCAGGCATCGCGTTCCAGTGCTCCTGGTGCCTTCTTGGTTGACACCATGCCATTTTGTAAGGCTATAGCATTCTGCTGTTTGCTTGTAACTAGCCTGACTATTGTCAGTGGCCAGGGTCCCCGAGTGGTTCCCTGGTGCTGGATTCAAGCGCTTAGCTCGTGAATGGTACGAGACCCGCGAACAGATGGGTACTGCACCCTACCAGTTCGTCAAGGATCAGATAGTAACCAATATCTGTAGTTTTGCGATCACGAGTTGAACGTGTTACAGGCTGCTGGAATTGCCCCAGTGTCTTTCACCTCGAATCTGTTGGAAGGTCGTGTTTTATCTGCGGAAGGGGATAATCTGGCGATGTGGGCTTTTGCATCCCTATACGCTGGTGGTGCCGACACGGTTGACACTTCCCTTCTTGTTATCATGGTTTTCGGACTAACATTTGTCTCCTCAGACGGTTTCTGCAATCTACTCGCTTTTCCTAGCCATGACGCTCTTCCTGGATGCGCAGAAGAAGGCTCAGGCTGAAATAGATCTTGTTGTCGGTCCCGATCGCCTTCCCTCTTTCGTTGATCGCGAATCTCTCCCATACACTGAAGCGCTTGCGAAAGAAGTCTTGCGCTGGAATACCGTAATCCCAACTGGTATGTGTACCTCAATTATGACATTCTTTAATCGCCGAGCAGTAGTAATCGCTCATGACAGCTATCCCCCATCGTGTTACTGAGAACGATATACATGATGGGTACTACATTCCAAAAGGTTCCTTGGTCATACCTAACATTTGGTTAGTGCTGCCCCCTTTTCCGTATTTGATTTATCGACAGAATTAAATCCTTTGGATTGCGACAGGTTCATGCTCAACAATCCACAAACATATGCTGACCCCTCGCAATTCAATCCTGAACGCTTCTTGGCCAAGGATGGAAAGGAAGTTGAAATGGATCCTCGCACGGTCTGCTTTGGCTTTGGCAGACGGTAAGCCTGGAGTTTTTTTTGAGTGCAATGCTAATCTCCTGCCCCGCAGTATTTGCCCAGGTATGGCTAACTCAGAAGGCGTCGATTAACCACATAGTCTTCTGAATCGCTTGCTTTTGATTGGATAGCTCTCCATCTCGCTGATGCCTCAGTTTGGAATCTTTGGATATCTACCGCGATGTCACTCGCAGTTTTTGATATCTCCAAGGCCATCGAGAACGGTGTTGAGATTACCCCCGAGCTTGACCACTCATCGGGCACGATCTGGTATGTCGTGCGTCTTCTCGCGTCTGTGGTGCCGGTAATAAATACACTTCCAGCCACCCCAAGCCCTTAAGTGCTCTATTAAGCCTCGCTCTGCGAAAGCCATTGCGCTCATTTAGCAGGATGCTAACTACTAAGCGCACAAAGACGCTGGAATGTACTCGCTGTGGGTGGCTGTCTTCACATCTGACATCTAGGTTTGTCACATCATTTGTATTTTACATCACGGGGAAAAGATTGTCGAGATTATCGCACATTGTTGGGACGATTGACATTACATGTTCTGGTACGAAAAGTGTTTCGTGGTCTAACTAAAAATCAGCGTGTCTGTCTGGCGCCTCCAGCACAATGATCATGAGCATACATCCTCCTCTGTTCAGTGACAATTACTTCACTAAACAGGCTTTACGCGTGGTGACCACCCTCAGCCACTTCCTCGACAGCTCGCGGACAGACTTCTCGTGCTGCTTGCGACCGGGTGATCATACCTGGTTGAATTCTACTTCAATCCGTCCTCTATTGAGAACCTTGTGACAGTCGGCGGCGTCGTCACATTTACAAGGTATCATTTGTCCAAACTTATTGCGTCTTCAGCCTGGTATCTCGGGGGATATGACAGATTTGCCTGTGATAGATAATGAAATACTTTCTATTTTGCCCTCGGCCCCACGCGCGTTTCGCCTGCATGCGGATATCGGTGGATGGGCATTCATCCCCGTTAATCCAGAAGTAGCAGAGAAATCAAGATCGTGCTTACATCCTTTTGCCGGCGGGCCCGAAGCAAACCCTTCAAATGGGTGATATGAAGTTGTGGAAGAGGTCACAGCCAAGGAGAATAACCCAGCCGAAAGCAGGAGCGAGCGTGGCCTGCGCTGCTCGACAGGACACAAGTGTTGTAAGAGCCCAAGATGGACAATTGCAAGACATGCGAGATGTGTTGTGCTAGCTTCAGCTATTTGGAGTTATTACTAATCAGTAGCAAAGGTTCTACTCCCGCCAAACTCCCGCCGCCTCTTTCAACCCATCAGAAACCCGCTTAAAATGCACATATCAACTTTACTTGAGGGACTATTGACATTTCCAAAATGTCAGCTCGGAAGACACCAAAGGGAAGGAACAAGTGAAAAGCATTATAGGTGACCCTTTACACTTCTTCCGGTGAATCAAGCTCAAGCCTGATCCCCTCATACGTGTCAAATCTCCGTTTATCATCATGAACCACTGGCGTTAATGGATGCGATTGCCTACGCCCCTTGGGCAGCCTGGCGGTCGTCTCGAGGTGGGGGAAATATTAAAAATAGTGTCAGCCAAAATCAACGTTCCCCCACGTCTAGAATATGGTCGAGAGGTGCAGGGGGAAAATGTGGGGTTTGTATTTAATTTGATGACACATTGCCTCCCATCCTTGAAAAATCGTGGCAATTGCTAGGATTGATTTGGCCATCTTGTCGGATTAATAATGTTTAAGTTTGCCGTGAGTTTGCCTGATCCTTGTTCCGGAGAAAGCTGAATCGATAGTGAGTGCATCATCGCTATCCTTATTATGTAGCTGGCCCATTATACTCCCAGCCTTTGCTGGTTCTGATTTCCCTCTTAGAGCCACCTATTCTTGTGGTGTCGAGTCACCGTTGCTAGCTCAATGGGGTGTCGGATAACCGGCTAAGCGCCAGGTGTTATAAGATGTTCAACGGACACGCACGGCTTATCGGACGCGCATTCTACCTATTCTACGTCGATCAAGATATTGATTGTTCACTCCTGTCTTATTCCAGCCCAATTATCATCATGATGCTGGAACCCCTTGCCATGAGTGCCAACTACGCCGCCGGTGTAGTTGGAGTCGTAGCGATACTCGGCGTGTTATACACGAAATCCTCGTTAGCGGGTAGGAACAACATCCCGCTTCCACCTGGACCTCCCGCCCGTTGGTTCTGGAGCAACGCTCTACCTGCTGTAAAGTGAGTTTTGCGTCAACCGAGATATTAGAGACCAATGCAAATTGCCCACTCAGAATTGCCTATGCGCTGACAGACTTGGTTCGAGAGTATGGGCCGATTGTGTCGTTCCGGCAAGGTAGCCAAGTGATAATTGTCATTGGCAGCATTGAGGTATATTATCCATACCATGAGCTTCCTCCGATAATGACCTAGCATCGACCTTACCAGGCAGCCACGGACATCATGGAGAAAGAAGGCGGATCACTGGTAGATCGACCTCGGTCCATTGCCGCGGGTGAGATGCTCTCAAGGGGAATGCGTATTCTCATGGCTCGTTCGGGAGATCGCTTCCGGCGCCTCCGAAAAGCAATGCATACCCATTTACAGCCAAAGGCGGTAGAGGCATACCAAGCTATGCAGCGCGAGAACGCGATGAGTTTCATATTGAATATGCTGGATGACCCGAAGAACCACCAGAAGCACGCACAGCGGTGCGTCATCACCAATGCTTTTTGTGATCCTTTCATAGATATGGCACCTCAAGGTATGCAGCATCAGTCATTCTTCGGGTGACTTATGGAAAGTCTGCGCCCACCGCCAACGCCGATCCCGAAGTTATCCGTATCCACAAAGTCCTTGACCATTTCCAGGTCGTGATGCGCCCAGGAGCTTATCTCGTCGATCGGGTGCCCCTTTTGCGCTACTTGCCTGGTTACGGAAAGCAACTTGATAAGTGGCATCATGAGGAGCTAGATTTATACAGGCATCAGCTACAGCGCGTTAAGAACGATGTGGTGAGGGGTTCTCTGTTGTCGATAAGTGTACCGTCGCTTATATCTTCTTGTACCTAGGATCAAGACAAAGCCGCTCCCTCTTTCACCAAGACACTATTGGAGAACACCGAAGAACACCATCTATCTACAGATGAGATGTCGTATCTTGCGGGATCACTCTTTGGAGCAGGAGCTGAGACGGCAAGTCATGCACCTTATTTATCTCCGCGAACTGACTCATTTTTGGTTCAGACCGCTGTCGGAATTACCGCGGCTATTATGGCTGCGGCGTGCTACCCACTGGCTCAGGCGAGGGTGCATGAAGAGCTCGATATGGTCATCGGGTCAGACAGAGGTAATACCAAAGGGATACAAAGATTTTGATTTCTCGACTCATTTTTTGTGGTAGCGCCGACATTTAAAGACTCAAAATCGCTCCCTCAATTACACGCCTTCTTGTTGGAAGCTTTGAGATGGAGACCCATCGTTCGCATAGGTAAATTTTAAATTCGGCGCGCTCCTGCACGATGCTGACATGTGCCTCAGGATTTCCCCACCGTGCAACCAAAGATATCTTTTGGGTCAGTGTCTTAGATTCATTGTAACCCACGTTCTCATTCTAGTCTGCGTGTAATCAGCAAGGATATTGCATTCCCGAGGGTGCAACAGTCTATGGGTGTCATTGGTAAGGTGATTGTACGATGTACATTGCTTCATTAAGTTCATGTTTTCAGGGCTATTTCTCGCGATCCTGTTGCCTTCCCAGATCCTGAAACTTTCAATCCCCAGCGCTGGCTTGATTCAGAAGGCCGCCTCAAGGACAATATGCAGTTCATTATATACGGCTTTGGTAGACGGTAAGTCGCGCCGACATCAGTGTTTTGACGCCGATCAATGACGTTCACTTATCAATGAAAGAGTATGTCCCGGCCTGCACCTCGCAAATCAGTCATTGTACATGGTCCTCGCACTTCTCTTCTGGTCTTTCCGCATTGCTCAACGACCTGACGCTCCGATCGATACATACGCTTTCAGTGACACTGTTATTTCCCATGCAGCACCATTTGAAATCGATGCCATTCCCCGGATCGAAGTTGCAAAGCTGAAAGAGCTTATGACGGACGGGTGTATGGATTGAAGATACTTTATACATAGTGGTACTACTAGTATTTGTCATTAACGCTACTCACGTTGCGGTGCTTTTCATGAGCGCTGTATTTCAGATGCCAATCTATTATGGAAAGCAGCTGCAACATACATTTGGACTCTGCAGCTGGATCTGAGAACTTTTGTGCAGTGGTTCCATCATTTTTTGAAAGGGCCGGGGTATCGAAATGTTGACTGTTCTATGCACGTGACCAATTTCGGGGCTTAGTCACATTCGGCCTCGTCATTCCCGAGTCCACTTCCGAGTCTTGGAACAACCTTCCAACTAATTTTCAACGCGTCGAGCCAGGAGTGGTCTTGCAGGAAACTTACACTACTCACAATGTTCCAAAGCGCACTTCGGTCATCTGTATGTCTTTCCACCAGTCGTGCTGAACTTTCGTGTTTCATGACCTTTTCGTCAGCTTTCGCTCCACAGGAGCACTGTTTCCAGCAGTCTAAGGTCGCAGACATTCCGTCGATTTCTATCTCAAGACTCTCGCGCAAAAATACAGGCTGCAGTGACCGAATACCCTGTGGTACTGTTTATGAAGGGCGACCCAGAGCAGCCTATGTGCGGTTTTTCACGAGGAGTCGTGAAGATCCTCAGCGCTTTCGATATTCCACCCGAAAAGTTCAAGACATATAATGTCCTTGAGGATCTAGAGCTCAGGACCGGAATTAAAGAATTTTCGTAAGCTGTGCTTTATTTGACATTGTCACCGAGCCTCAAGTGCTTCTCTTGCAGGGAATGGCCAACCATTCCGCAACTGTATGTGAACGGGGAATTTGTAGGTGGGAGCGACATTGCTCTAAGCAGTAAGTTGACGTCGCATGCCGGATGTGTTTCAAGCTTACATTATTCAAAGTGTTCCAATCGGGAGAGTTGGAAACGCTTCTCGAGCAGCATGGTGTTATTCCGAAGGCGTCGGATTCTCCCTCTCAGTCATCGTCATGAATTGGTACCTGATCTCGACATGTTACTCCTCGCATACCTTAGATATTAACTTATCATCACTACTCATCAAGCATTGTGGCAATTCGGTCAACATCGTAAATCATCAGCGTCAAGTCCTGGTCCTCGACTTTTGCATTTCTTAATCATGTTTCGTCTTTGCGTCAACAACAGCCCCGAAGATGCCCCGTACAAGACAGAGGTTGGATATTATTCCCGGGATTTATTGGATGAGAGAGATTTCATGCAAATCGGAGGGTTGTCAATGAAACCCCACTTCTGACATGCAGCACTTAACGCTTGAGCTACCTCGACGATGGAGGGATTTTGATTCGGTGGTGGAAGTCGGAAAGGCGTCTATGACTACGTGTTCCACAGTTAAGTTGCATCATAAAGTATCTGCAGGTTGTCTGTCTATATCTATTCATGATCTAGGTATTATCAAGAAACTCGTTTGCCGTACGACTTAGACCAACAGCCCGAGTGAATTACATCCGCATCGCTGAGTTACAGAGGCAGACAAATCAAAGCAAGATGGCGCTTCCTCCACAATTTCCCAGATTTTACTAAAATCTGTCGGAAACACAGTGCCCAACTAGTCTTGAAACTGACAATGCAGTGGCATGAAAATCCAACTGCTCCCATCACGCGCGATGCGTCTATTTATGGCCCTATCTTTCTCCATGATCAACATCATGTTTCAAGAGTGCACTGATGCCAGCGAAGTGTCCTCCCCCTATCGCGTGATGAAACTTTTATCTTTTTCTCCGCTGTGATCAGCATCACGTATCATGTTTCAAGAGCACCTGATACCCCTTTCCTGATGGCAGCAAAGAGTTTGCCAAGAGATCCAACACTTGACTCTACTAGCACCCTCAGGGCGCGGCTTCTGTGATATAAATAACTCTTTGAAAGGTTCACTTCGCGCTCTGACCACCGATAACAAGCGGCTTTTGCTTTGTAAGTAACGATCTCATTTGAAGTGCAATAATAACACTTCGTGTAGCAAATACCCGGCTGCAGATAACAGTCTCACGCCGCCTACGCTTCTACAATCATAAAGAAGCACTGGAGCGTGATGAAGAGCGGGCAGTACCGTCCTGTTGAATGCTGTGACGCATCATCAATGTGACAGCTCAAGCCCTGTATGAACTAAATGTTTTCCAACAATGCTACCCGATGTAAACGGTGAGATTCCTGATGATGATATTTAAAGCTGACCTGGCTCTATCATGGAGTTGGCGGAGAAGGTGCCCACACTATCGTACATCCTCCAGGTATCGCGATCGCCATGGGTTCAAAAGGCGTTAGGTTGGACACTGCTGTTATAGTGTCAACAATGCTGGAAGGCATTTTATACGGTGAGTATTGCAATGCGTTGAGCCATCTCATGCAAACCAAGCTAGGATTCTTCAGGCTTTTCAGTCCTGCTGTTTATAGGCACCATCTGGGCAGTAGTCTACAAACATCGCGGCAATCGCCCGATTGCTGTAGTGGCCTTCCTGCTGTTCATACTGAGTACCACGGTTAGTTTCTCACCTCTTACATCCGATATTATCTGCTGAAGTCTCCCAAGCACATAGTCGTAGCAATCACTCGTATGGAACGTGGACTAGTGGAGTATCGTGACTCATTCCCAGGCGGGCCAGTGGCGTACCTTGCAGACGTCTCTCAAACAATGTATGTGATCAAGTGTGCATTATATGTCTTGCAAACTCTACTTGGTGATGGGGCGGTGGTGGGTTCAATTTATTGTCTGCAAGCTTCTTTGTTCACAAAATCCCTTTTGCAAAAGATTTATCGCTGTTACGTCGTTTGGCAATCAGTCTGGGTTATCATCCTACCAAGCATGCTGTGGTGCAGTAGCGCAGGTTAAATCGCAATCGTGCTCAGGAAGTCGTGTGCCCTGACGTTGACCCACAGTGACTGCCTTTTATTCGGTCTACAACTTTTCGCAAGGGAGCAGGATCCGCCATGCTGGAAGCTTCGACAAAGCAACTGAACAATTGAACACGGCGTTTCTCGCCTCGACACTTTCAACTCATTTGATTTGTTCAGGTGAGCACACTTCTGCACGGGTGCACGGTAGAGGTCCCATACTAACCTGAATGTGTCCAGGGTTACTAGTCTTTCGCATCTGGATGATTGAACGCAATGGCTCTACAATCCGTAATCCAAAGAGCACTACAATGCCTATATTGCGCGCGCTTGTGGACGATGCTTTGTATTCAGTGGCGCTTATGTCCATAATAATGTTTTTCGTCTTCTGGAACAAGTCGAATGCACAGCACATTATACTAGACATGGTGATTCCTCTGTTGACACCTATTTTCGACGATTACTGAGTTTTGATCTACTAGGTCATGCCACTCATCTCAATTTGCTTTTATATGGTGCTTATTCGCATCGCAATCAGTAGAAAAACTCACTGTTACCTCCCGACTGTCCATGGAGGGACAGCCAATGAGACGGAACGAATGTCGCGGCAACATCCGATGAAGCCCTTGCAGGTCCATATATCCCAATTTACGTACAGTGACGGTGCCTCGACATACGAGACAGGGAATAAGGACCGACCAGGGACATGCAAGGTGGAGTGTGTGGAAGGGGCATCTTGTGACGTGTAATCTGCTATTTTTTCCCGGTTTCCGCACTCGTTTGTTTCATACCTCATTGATTACGTAGGGCATATGGTGTAGCTGGTTATCACATCCGCTTAGCATGGGCTGACTGCGGGGGGTCTCCGGTTCGAGTCCGGATTTGTCCACTGTTTTTGCCAATAATACATAGCACAATGTTCCCCAGCTCTCGTCATGGACAAATAGCAAGGGCCGAATTCAATTGGGCCGCATCTTGTTCAGGGGGGAAGGAAGGTCCTTGAAAGGTACAACACCGACACTGGATGCTTGCATCCTTGTCCGTTACAACTGTGGCGATAGTTGAATACTCTGTGGAGAGATGGCTATGACTAGAAACAATACCCGATGAACATGGGGGGAGATGTTGGGAACTATAATCCGAATAAGTAGCATAAATTGTTGGCTTGAGCTGAGCAGTTGGGTTTGGAATAAGAAGTCTGACAAGCAACGACTCGCAGGAAGTAGGTAGACAAACTGCATACGGGTTCACAAAACACATGAGCAGCGAGGATGGTATACAAGAATGAGAATATAACCTGAACTGCCCGCTAGGATGGGGCAGGTGCGTTCTGTATAGCTATTATCGAGTTCGAAGAAGCTGCATTTCTAGGTGCCAGTGGTTGGAATATTGTTGGAGTGATCCGACGTGGGGAAGCTATGAGTCTGTCATGCGAAGTGTGATGACGTCTTGAAGTGCGGGGTTTTGGGACTGCGCGCTGAGCAGACAGCGACTCTATAGTAAGCATGGTCCCTGTTCGAGTATCTTGATGAACTTTTCAGTGTCATCACGCCGTCCTGAAACTGGAAGGCTCACCCTACACCTTGTACCGAATGATTACGGCAGCCCTTAGGCTTTTCACATCCAGTGCTCGGTATCATCAAGAATGATTGAACCGAGGCACACAGGGCAAAATCGTGAACGATAGCAAGGACCGAATTCGAGGCTGCTCGGTTGTAACCTCCTGAGCCGTCCCACAACTTCATACCACACATTTGAAGGTTTGTGTAGGTCCCTCTGGCAAAAGGATGCAGCAAGTACGATCTTGACTTCTCTGCCAGGATAGACCGTCGCGAGAAACTTTGCCATTGCTTTTGAGTCGGCGGGAGATGAATATGCATCCACCGATATCCGCATGCAGGCGGAACGCGTGGGGCGCGAAGATAAAATTGTAAGAGTTTCTTCGTCTAATGTTGGTAACTCCACCATATCCAACGGGATACCCAGCCGAAGATGCGATAGGTTCGGACAATGCCTTGCGAATGTGGCAAGACTGCCGACATCTACAGTAGCTGTCACAAGTTCCCGTGCTGAGACAGGATCGAGGTAGAATTCGACCAGGTCTGGCCACCCGATGGCAAGCGTTTTGAGCGTAGAAGGATTCAATGGTATCACGAGGTCAGCCAGTGTGACGTGCTGCAAGTGGGAGAAGACAAGGAGGTCTTCTAAGGAAAGGATGTATGAGCGACTAGGACCACATGACCCGCCAACCACTACGGGGGCTCCTGGCCGGTCGATGGTAATGGTCCTCAGAAATTGTCCCCATCCTCTCTTCGACGAGATTAAGGCAGTAAGCGCGCGCGCAAGCGGTTTATCCTTCTCCCAGGGCCATGTACCCTCGATAGTCAAGGAAAGACTTTCCAACGCACTCGAGTGGACAGCTTCTATGAGTGACATCATGAAATAGAAATCACTTGAGATTGTTAGACACCGCAAAGACGAAAAGAGTCGATGTCCATCTAAGTGCTCAGGCTGGTTCCCAGCTGATGGGTTGTACTCCATGGTCAAGTCAAGCGTGTGGAGCACCGTCGAATGTAACGCTGTCAAGAAGCCACCAGCAAATTTGGTGCTGCTTGACAATTTCAGTTTCTGCAAACGAGGGAACATCTGAAAGCCAGAGAGCCCAGGACCCTCTGAGAACTCCCCGCTGATCTTAAGATCCAGGTGCTCTAAGTTGCGGAACAAGCACAGAGGAGCAATTACTCCAGAATAGAATGCGCGCATATAGTGCCGCGGAACATAGACTGCGGGATGGTGTTAACCAATGTATGTCCGCCCTCGATCATGCCTTACCTTCGAATTTTATCGTCCTGAGCTGAGGAAGATCATTAACCAGAATTGAGAGTAATGGCCAGCCTTCCACTTTCTCGTCGAATATGGGATAGAATTCAAGACTCGTGAAGTTAATACGAGATAATGGAGCGAACGAAATATCCGAAACGTCCCCCGTGCCCGCCACAAGCTCGGGACATAACATGTGAGTGAGTTGGGGTAGAAACTTGTCCAGAGGGTAGGCCGAAAGAAGCCAATTGATGACATGGGAGGGGACTAAGAAAAGTTCGGGAAGAACCCATCTATAACTAGCTGCAGGTGGACCTATCCTCTTGATCCGTCGAGCGTAAGGAAGCATTCGCAACAAATCCGAGGGCAAAGGGTTTTGAACAAGGTGCTGTTGAATCATTTGTGAGGAAGAACATACACCGAACCAGTGGAAAATTATAGGATCACGTACAATGCTCCGACGCAGAAATAGTTGATTACCAGGTAGGATAGTTCCATCGTCTTCTGGTTCACTATCACTATTCCGAACTTCGAAGACGGATGGCGGCATGCACATCAACAATGGTCCGAAGCATAACTGATTATTCCATAGCACGTCGAGCGCCGGACCACTCAACGCATGACACGTTTTTGCAAGTGCTACAAGATCGTGCAGACTAAGTGGATTGAACTCATGAGAGCCTGTGGGTCCTGAAAGAAAAGGATTTAGGAACTCGAAAATATTAGTAGTAATTTCGGGGAGGAATAGTACAGGATGCATGGTCGTTACGAACAGTCCTAAGGCGCCATGGAGTCCTTTTATGCCGGCTATTGGCAATTTTGAGGTCGGAAAAGCAATACATCGAAGCTGACTCTGGGTTCACACGAAACGGTTTAAGCAGTACTTATATGTACAAGTTGCAACACTTACGCCATGGGCAAGGCCGAGTCAAGGTCTCAAAGCCAGTCATTCACGCAATGAGGGATACTAGTACTTCGTGAAGCTCCAAGCTTGAAGAAGTACCCAATCGCGAATATTTATACCTGCAAGAGCTAATACGTAAGTAGTGTAATGTTATATATCATCCTGTTCGTGTGCCATATTTTTGGAGGTCATACTCTCGTGATACGGGAGTGATAGCTGGCATCTGTGGGGTTCTGTGTGTTCTCTCCGGAGAGCTGGATGATTTTTTCCATTGAAGTTACGTTTCACATACCATAAGATATCTAGTGACAGAAACCCCTGCAGAAGTATCCGTAACGCGGAACGAATTCACTGTAAATGGGTATTGTACGTGGATTGCATGCTCGGCGTTTCGTGGTGCCACCAGCGAATTTCCCTCAAAGAGGCAAATTCTGGGTTGCTGGGAAACCCTCCTGTGTGGAAGGTTGATAAGATGAGAGCGCTTAAACCCTTCTCACAAACGTGCGTTCTCCGAAGGGCCAATGAGATCGCTCAAAACCAGTCGTGCGAGGGATTTCGAGAGGACTGCCCCGTAATTATAGGCACGTTGTATGGGGAGCATTGGAGACCCTTGTGATGCTGTCCATCCGTTACGGGTTCCGAAATGCTAGCCAATCACCGCCTGACAAACGTGTCGCATGTCGTTCATAAGCCTCTGCGGATGCGAATATGAACTGTTGTATGCCTCTATTCAGACCCATTGCAATTGCACCTCCCAAAGGTCCAGCAGAGATGGACATGTACGCTGCAAGCACTCCACGCAGGACAAAGCGCTTGCGTTCAGACTCCGGCGCTGCGGCTGTCACTATAGCTCCACAGTCAAACAGTCATCGACTGTCTAGCCCAATTTCCAGCGATGACCAAGCTGAAGATGACGCCTACAATACTCCTCCTCCAGTACCGCAACCAAAACGTCGCGGACGCAAACCTGGCACGCTTTCACGCACAGCACGTGAAGCTCAGCGGAAGATTAACCACTCTCTCATTGAAAAAGCCAGGCGCACCAAAATTAATGATGCCCTGGCCGCATTAAGAGAGCTCGTGCCTGCGGAATACAAACGAATCAATGAAGTAGCAGAGGGCAGTGATGAGGACGAAGATGACGAACCTAAGAAGGGCAAAGGAAAGTCGAAGGCAGGAGAAAAGGAATTCAAACTTGAGATCCTGGTGCGGACAGTGACATATCTTCAGGACCTGACAGATAAGGTGAAGCACTTCGAGGAAGATGGGTGCCCAAACTGCAAGCAGCGCATTAGCCAATCTTCCTCTCCTGACATCAGAGGGTCCAAGCGAAGGAGACAGGACGTTGAGCAGGAAGAGGGTGCAAGGACTCAAGTGGGGTCCGCTGATGACCCGTACTCTCGCCTGCCATCCATTTCCACCTGGCTTCCACATTCCTCGCAGGAACAGACTCGGAGAATTCTGACTTCGTCCCAGTCACCATCCACCCGGCCAGTTCCGAGCTCTTCGAAGTCTCCGTCACAACAACTCCCAACACCTCCAGCTTCCGCAACATTCACGGGCTCCTCCTCCGTCTTCGGAGTCCCACCTGTTCTGACCCTCCCCTCCCCGAGTACATTCCTTCCGCCATCAAGGACACAGATTCAACCCTGTTTTTCGGGTTTTGTTCCACGACGAAGTCCCAGTGACACATCATCGTCCTCGCCAGCATACACTCCAGAGGATGAGACTGCTGCATCGCTACTGTTGCGCATCAGTACCTCCACGCCTGTGACCTCACCACAACTGCCACTAAAGCCATCGTCCCCGTCAAGTACGATGAACGAGTCACAGACAGGACATCCTCGAGAAGAATCTGTGCATGCTCTGACGCCAAGTCGTCTGTTGGGTTTGACCACAACAAAGTGAAGACAGACTATGTTGGAAAGACGTATCTTGATCTGACCCTTGTCGATGACTTGCGTCTTGTAACTTATCATTTTGCTCGTACTTCAGTCATAAGGGCTGTTGTTAGTATGGCCAACATCATGCATAGCCTTTGTAAATTGTAGAAATATTGTACTACTTACATTGAAGTACTGCATGCGCAGGACTTATGTACTGTATATCCGTAGGCGTTGTTCGGTGTTTGTAGTACATATAAGACTTTGTCCTTCACTACATCTGGTTTTCACCCATCGCTTGTATGTTAAGACCACTCTGCAGGTCTCTATCCAGACAAACACGGCTATTTCACTCCAGTGGCACAGCACGTCAGGAAGCTTCGCATGCTGCTTTAGAGACAAAAGACGATGAGGACGATTTGCAGGATGCCCTTCGACGGAAACGCAAGACGGAGTGGAAGCGAAGACAAGGGGTAAGCTACACTTCTAGGTATACGCGTACTACCTAATAACATCTCGCAGGGTCAATCCTTCCTGGACAACCTTATAATCAACGTTCGAGGAGGTGTGTACTTGTCTGAAATTTACTCATGCATACTTAATACCATGCAGGCAATGGAGGTGACGGATGCGTTGCTTTCCACCGAGAAAAATGGAAACCCATGGGGCCTCCTTCAGGTGGTAGTGGTGGACGTGGAGGCGACGTCTACATTCTCCCTACACCTAACCTCACATCTCTTTCCTCCATCCCAAAACGTGTACGGGGCGGCGCAGGCGGAAATGGCCAAGGGACATGGCAGAATGGCAAAAACGCACCACCGACGATCATTAAAGTTCCTCTGGGCACAGTGATACGCGAGCTTCTTCCAGGCGATTCACGACGCGCCAAGGACGAATGGGAAGCGGAGGAGGAGTCGTTGCAGGGACTCAATCCAGAGGAACGTCGTGCGAAGCTTCGGGATGACAGATGGTTGCATTATCCGCGATATGCGGATGATAATGTCAATCGTGATGTGTTCAAACAGGCGGAAGCGGCTCTGTACCGGGAGGAGAGAGCCAGGCGCTGGGCTAGGAAACAGAGGCTTCTAGCGCCTATCAACCTCGACTTGGACAAGACAGAGGAAGTCGTTATTTCTGATGATGCACCTCTTGGAATGGGCCTGCAGGAGTGGTTGGGACATATCGTCGCGCGGGGTGGCAATGGTGGGTTGGGCAATCCACATTTCTTGTCACCCGTCAGCCGTTCACCCAAATTTGCGACACGGGGACACGAGGGCGAGCGTTTAACGTTATACCTTGAACTCAAGATTCTCGCGGATATTGGACTTGTCGGGATGCCAAATGCAGGCAAGAGCACTCTACTCCGCGCATTGACTGGCGGTCGAGCGAAGACTGAAGTTGCCGGCTATGCGTTTACTACACTTAACCCCATCGTTGGTGTGATTCGTGTAGCAGAAGATGGGACCTTCGAAGGCGCCCTCCATGGTGAAAATGTTTTCGAGGAAACTGCTATTGAGGAGGAACGCCTTCGGCAGCGCGAACTTGCCGACATCGAAAATTCTGAAGAACAACTGCGCTTAGAGGACAATTCACCTGATCCCCCCCAGCCAGACATAGAACCGGGTCACGATTTTGACCTTCATGAGACTTTTCGCTTTACCGTTGCGGACAATCCAGGGCTCATATCCGGCGCATCAGAAAATGTTGGTCTCGGTCATTCCTTCCTCCGCTCGATGGAACGATCCCTCGCACTCGTCTATGTCGTGGACTTATCTCGCCCAGAACCATGGGACGAGCTTAGAGACCTGAAAGACGAGCTAGAGAAATACCTACCAGGAATGAGTGATAAAGCTCATATGGTTATAGCGAACAAAGCAGACTTGTTAGGTGGTGGAGGTGATCAGGAGGCGGTGGAAGAGGCACGTGAAAAGCTGAGGAGGCTTGAGGAGTACGTCAAAATGGAGATGGTCGTGAAGACGCCGGGCGGGGAGCGCATACTCGATGTCATTCCTACCTCGGCAAAGATGAGCCAGAACCTCAAGAAGGTGGTTGGGCTCATGCAGAAATATGTCCAGCAGGCTAGAACGGAAAAGGTTTAGTGGTTTAATGTATGTGATCATCTCATTTTTCTTGGGATTGCAGACTGATATTTGCGTTACAAGCATTTACCTTCAGGCCGCTATTCGAACCCGCCAGCCATTTCTCGCACTCGCATCAGTTCCGTGTTGCAGTGTTCCTGACAGGTTCCAGGAAGTGCGATTATAGCCCACATCTAGTAGGCTATGTACATGACGATGCGCGTACTATTGTGAGCTGGGGGTGCGAAGCAACGCGTTTCGTTCACTTCTATAGAAGTGCGCTTCATACCGACCACTGCTAGCGGGATGTTCAGCCATAAGATGGTCATTTTGTATCCCCAACCCGACATCCTGAACAATATAGCTCCTGGTTCTCTCAATGCTGCACGAATTCCGTCACCCGCCATGTAGCGTCGAGATAAAAACGATCTCGTCGTTATTACAGAGTTGGTAGGAACCTTCCCCTTCGAGCTCCCAGTCGGTGTTGTTAATCAGGACAAGGATCCCTGGGCGGCTAGAAAGTCCATGAGGTAGAGATTGAGCATAAGTAAAGACGACGCACATCGTCCCGTTCTCCATGAACAATTCGGGGCGCTCTTTGAGTAAATGATCACGAAGGTGATATATCAAGTACTCCAGGTCTGCTGCCTTAGTCTCTCCCGTGTCAATGGAAGGAGTGTCATTGTTTGAGGATGGAGTAGATGAAGTTGAGGATGGAGTAGAACGCGTGGAATTGTCAGATGGCACAATTTGAGGGATGAGAACCGATTGATCACGCTCGTTGCCAAATAGCAACTCGAGTCCACCGCTGAATACTAGTTTGATCGTTATCGTGCTGGCCATCGTGGACGTTGTTGACGTTGATCTGGCATTGATCAGCATTAAGATTTAAGAACTTCACTGAGGTTAATGTGTCTCAGTGTTATCAGAGCAGTGATGTGGTTATATCTCGTGGGGCATATGGTGTAGCTGGTTATCACATCCGCTTAGCATGGGCTGACTGCGGGGGGTCTCCGGTTCGAGTCCGGATTTGTCCACATTTTTTGCCAATAATACATAGCACATTGTTCCCCAGCTCGTCGTGGACAAATAGCAAGGGCCGAATTAATGGCTGCAGCTGAGGGCCACTCTGGCCAAAATCAAACCAAGAAACAACCTTCGAGATTGAATTGCAGGCATCCTGGAAGTGGGTTCCTGGAAGTGTTCGGTAGTATCGTTGATGCGAGGGTCAACAATATTGCCAGTGACGATCTAACTTCCCACTCTCCAGGTTCAGCCCGCATTTGAAATGTGAACGTTAACTCCACCTTGGAGTCTTTATTTGAGCTGGTATCACCGTGTGAATGCATCAAGACGACAGGAACAGCGAGTGCTCCTGCCACCTCTCCCCTTTCAGGAGGTGCTCTATTGCGGAAGAGGGTACTCACGACCCGTGAAAGAGTACACCGTAATTGATGCATTTTGCACCCTACATATCAACACTCATCTTCAGGTGCGACGAATGCTGCTCAAGCAGCAACTCCGAGTCGGACTGTCATGAACGACGATGAGATAATGAGAAGAACCAATGATATGATCGTAGAGTAAATCTCAGCGGCGGCTCTCTCTTGAGTTTCAGAGCAAAAACCACCTGAACTGGACCTTTGTCGAGTCGGGTCCAGGGATATCTTCAATCCATACGCCCATTCATCATCTCTTTCAGCTTCGCAACTTCGATCCGGGGAACGACATCGATTTCAAATGGTGCTGAATAGGCAATGACGGTGTCACTGAAAGCGTGCGTGTTGATCGGGGTGTCAGGCCGTTGATCAATGCGGAAAGACCACAAGAGAAGTGCGAGGGTAATGTACAGCGACTGATTTGCGAGGTGCAGGCCAGGACATACACTTTCAAACACAAGTGAACTTCGTTGGTCGGTGTCGAAAATTCAATGGTGGCGCGACTTACCGTCTACCAAAACCATATAGGATGAACTTCAAATTATCCTTAAGGCGACCTTCTGAATCAAGCCAGCGCTGGGGATTGAAAACTTCAGGATCTGGGAAGGCAATAGGATCGCGAGAAAGAGTCCTGAAAACATGCACTTAATGAAGCGAAGTACATCGTGAAACAACACCTTACCAATGGCACCCGTAGACTGTTGCACCCTCGGGAATGCAATATCCTTGCTGATTACAGGCAGACTAGAATGAGAACGTGGGTGAAAATGAATCTAAGACGCTGACCCAAAAAATATCTTTGGTTGCACGGTGGGGAAATCCTGGGGCACATGTCAGCATCGTGCAGCATCGTACCGAATTTGAAATTTACCTATGCGAACGATGGGTCTCCATCTCAAAGCTTCCAACAAGAACGCGCGCAATTGAGGGAGCGAGTCTGAGTCTTCAAATGTCGGCGCTACCACGAAACAATTTAAAAATCAAAATCAAAATCTTTGTACTCCTATAGCATTACCTCTGGCTGATCCGATGACCATATCGAGCTCTTCATGCACCTTAGCCTGAGCCAGTGGGTGGCATGCCGCAGCCATAACAATAGCCGTGATTCCAACAGCGGTCTGAACCAAAAATTAGTAAGTTCATGTAGATTAACAAGTTGTATGACTTGCCGTATCTGATCCCGCCCCAAAGAGTGATCCAGCGAGATAGGACATCTCATCCGGAGAGAGCTGGTGTCCTTGAGCGTTCTCCAATAGTGTCTTGGTGAAAGAGGGGCTAGCTTTGTTTTGATCCTGGACACAATACGATGTCAGCGACATACGTTTATCGGATTTGAGAGCCCCTCACCACGTCGTTCTTAACGCGCTGTAGCTGATGCCTGTATAGATCTAGCTCCTCATGATGCCACTTATAAAGTTGTTTTCCGTAACCAGGCAAGTAACGCAAAAGGGGCACCCGGTCGACAAGATAAGCTCCTGGGCGAATCGTGTCCTGAAAATGTTCAACGACTTTGTGGATACGGGTAACTTCGGGATCGGCGTTGGCAGTGAGTGCAGATTTTCCATAAGTCACCCGGAGAATGACTGATGCTGCATACCTTGAGGCACCATATCTATGAAAGGATCACACATAAGTTCTTGGTAATGACGCACCGTTGTGCGTGCTTCTGATGGTTCTTCGGGTCATCCAGTATATCCAATATAAAACCCATCGCCTCCTCGCGCTGCATATCTTGGTATGCCTCTGTCACCTTTGGCTGTAAATGAGTATGTACTGCTTTTCGGAGGCGCCGGAAGAGATCTCCCGAACGAGAAAGGGTGATGCGCATTCCATTTGAGAGCATCTCACCCGCGGCAATGGTCCGAGGTCGATCTACCAGTGATCCGCCTTCTTTCTCCATGATGTCCGTGGCTGCCTGTTAAAGGGGTCAATGTCTGGTTAATGTCGGAAGAAGCTCAAGTTATGAACACTATACCTCCATGCTGCCAATGACAATTATCACTTGGCTACCTTGTCGGAACGACACGACAGGCCCATACTTTCGAACCAAGTCTGTCAGCGTATAGGCAATGCTAATTAGACGATCTGCATCAGCCTCTAATTTCTCGGGTAACACTGCCAAAACTCACTTGGCAGCAGGCAAAGCGTTGTTCCAGAACCAACATGCGGGAGGTCCAGGTGGAAGCGGGATGTTGTTCCCACCCACTAATGAGGATTTCTTGTACAACATGGCGAATACCGCTACGATTGCGACGACACCAGCGGCATAGTTGGTGCTCATGACGTTTAGTGGGCTGGAAATTGAATATCTTTATCGAGGTAGAATGTGTGTCTGATAAACCGTGCGTGTCCAACATCTTATAGCACCTGTCACTCCGCCGGTTATCCTTCGCCTCGTTAAAATACATTATCACAGTGACACGTTGTGACGAGGTTGGGTTTCTCTAAGAAGGGAATCGAAATCCACAAACCCTGATACAAAGTCGAATCGCTGATCCTCGCTGATCGCACTCTGACATAACGAGGACAAATGCGGTCCGGTACCCCTTAGAAGGTTAGGCCGGGCTGGGAGTAGTAGCATGGTCAGCGATGATCCAATGATATCGATGATACACTCACTATTTCACCTTTCTCCGGAATAATGATCAGCCAACTTAAAATGAATCCGACAAGATGACCATGAGCCAACCCTTGCTATCGCCACGTTATGCCCAGGTATTGGCGGAGAAACAATCCGATTTACAGATGGGCCAGAGGAGTTCACTTTATCATTGCCAGCATTGCATTCTTCAGGGAACTCAGCCGAGCGCCAAGCAATCTTGAGCCGCGGAGAGTCTCCGAACGTGGCACACTGGTGAGGGCGTTAGCCATCAAGTGGCTGAATCATCTTCTGTGCTATACAATGTCGAGAACGTCCGGGAAATGGACACTCTGGGGTACCTCTGTCACGGACTCCGGGGGTAAAGTATGGGTCCACTATGGGGGAGTGTCAGCCGCTCGGCTCAATTCGGTCGGAGTTTATTTATGTCAGCTGTGGTTCTTGCTGCCATGCTCTTAATGCCGCCCCTCCCGCCCCCGGTGTCTTTTTTGCCCGCCTGCCGCTCTTACGAAATAATGTTATCTCTTCCTTCAATAGTATTACCGGTAACTACGATGGCCTCATCCTCACAGTCCCTACCCCCAGCTGAATTACCGACGTCCATGATGCAGGCTGTTGTTGTAGAAGGTCGTGATCGTGGTGGTGGTACGGTGATTGTGGCTGACGGTGTTGAGGCTAATGTGTCAGCTATCACGGGGTGTGCGAAAGACGCCGGGGGCAGGATGGGCGGGAGGGGCGGGACTTCGGGAGGAAGAAGGTACACAGCCAGTGAGAATCACAGCTGACATAAATAAACTCCGACCGAATTGAGCCGAGCGGCTGACTCGCCCCAAGAGTGGACCCCCAGAGTCCGTGACAGAGGTACCCCCAGAGTGTCCATTAGCCTGACTTTCTGACAATGTCGGCCGCATCAAGTCGGAGCTGCGACATACGAGGAGAACAGTGAGCGAGTTTGCATATGACTTTGTCAACAAAATCCCATGGGGAACCTGTAAAGCGAAGACAGGTGGCACTGACTGCGTCTTGAGTTGATGGCCGACTGCGCAATCGCTCGTTGACCAGAAAGTAAAATCACATTATGAGAGAATTGGATTAGCTGCAACGACAAACTACCGGCGAGGAAGAAGATGATTGTTGAAAAAAGACTTGCCGAAGCACTAACAGTGGGAATCTTGCAAGGGGTACCTGTTGAGTTATACAAGCCGAAAACATAAGTTTGCGCCGAGAGCGTGAACGTGCGTGCTTACAAAGCACAAGTAGCGGACTTAAGTTTTAAGTTTCAAAGAGAAAACATATAATATAAAAGAGATGTACTTAGGAGATCCCCTATGATTAACATCTTGCGCTCACGCGAAATCATCTGATCCAAACAATTCTATTCATCTACGCCTCGTATCCAATACTCGTAATCTAATCGACAATAGGTTATGAGCCCTGGCGTGCGCAAATAAATATCTATCTAATATATCAGACGAGATCTAACCAAAAACCAAACCCCTAAAATGACGGACCAATCTACTGGTTCATCGTTGACGTCGTTGTATCGGATCGAGCATTTGAACGACACCAATTGGCTAGGATGGAAGCGCCGAGTAAAGGCAATCATGTTTGAAAAAGGAATTGAAGGGTATGTCGAAGGTACCGTCCCCAAGCCTGCACGTGGCCCAGATCCAGTGTCGGCACAGAGGGAAGCGGACATAACGAAGTGGGAAATGCAAGACCGTAAGGCCCAGACTGTGATTGAGCTGTCAATAAGTGATAGCCAAATGATACACTTAGCTGGAGCCAGGACGGCAAAAGACATGTGGGATCAATTGAAAATCATGAAGGAATCACGAGGTAAACAAGCGATCACCACATGGCGGCGAAAGTTCTATAGAACGGTCGCCGACGAAGGTGATGACGTCCCCACGCATGTCAAAAAAATGAGGGAAATCCAAGAAACCTTACATATGATGGGAAGTCTGGTGACGGAAGAAGACTTCTGCACTGTACTTATCTCATCATTACCGGAATCTTGGGACACCTTTACCATGACATACCAGATCAGGATGGGTGATACGAAGACGATCACGTCACATGAGTTAATCTCCCTTATCTTGGAGGAGAACTCGCGACAAAATGAAAAAGATGTGAAAGGAAAAGGAAAGGAGAGTGCGCTCGTTGTAAAAGGAAAGAATTTAGGAAAAAGGAAGCGTGAAGACGTGAAGAAGTGCCGGATCTGTAAAAAGTCCGGCCATACCGAAGCTGAGTGTTGGTTCAAGGATAAGCAATGCTCTAACTGCGGACAAGCGGGACATACTAGAGAGAATTGCTGGAGCAAAGGAGGAGGAAAGGCGGGGCAAGGCCCGTCTAAGTTTCCTCTCAAAAAGCGCATCAAAAATGACAACGCTCACGTCGTTGATGACGTAGAAGATGTTGCAAAAGAAGCGCAATATGAAGAGGAAGATGTTGCCTTTTTTGGCGAAGAGATGCAGGTCGAGCCGATCGAGGTCGAGAACCAGACAGTAGTCGAGGTCAATGATCAGGTCGAAGACGAAGACCATATCAATGTATCTAATAATAGTGATGAATACGAGAAGCTTAGCTATTATGATTGGCTGGCAGACTCAGGAACGACATCACATATTACTAAGATTCGATCCACAATGACGGATTATGTTCCATTAACGGATCACAAAGTCAGCAGGATATCTAATGAATCCCTTAAGGCTGAGGGACGTGGAACAGTCGAACTAGTAAGTACGGTAAATAAGCAGCAGGTAACCTGCAAACTTAAAAATGTACTATATGTACCGCGTGCCTCAAACAACCTTCTATCTATCATGCGCCTAGATAGAGAGGGAGGACATGCCATAATGGGTAACGGTGTAGTAACCTTAAAAGTGCGCGGAGGATGCACAATAGCCAAAGGGAAGCTTCAAAACGGGTTGTATTTATTAAACTCTTGGGCTAAGTTACATCCAATAACTAAAATATATACTACTCGAGATGAAAAACCTGTAGATTGGCTTACCTGGCATAAAAGGTATGGGCATATAGCCTTTAGCGGTCTAAAACGACTGCACAAAGAAAAATTAGTTGAAGGTATGAATATAGATGAGAACTCACCTATGCCGCAGTGTGAAGCCTGTATTCAGGCAAAGCAAACGCGTGATTCATTTCCGCGTAAGGCTGATGATCGTTCTGGATCGATCGGAGAACTCACACACAGTGATGTGTGGGGTCCAGCCAGAGTACAGTCGATTGGCGGATCTAAATATTATATTTCATTTATCGACGACTGTTCCCATAGGACCAGCGTCGAATTCATGAAAAATAAAAATGAAGCTTCCACCAAAGTAAAGCAATATGCGATGTACCTTAAGAAGCGCTGGCAAAACCAACCGAAAAAGTTCCGAGTCGATAACGGAACAGAATATGTGAATAATGATCTAAAAACCTGGTGTAAGAACGAAGGGATTGAGCTAGAAGGTCAGGGAACTAAAGATAGATATATCAGGAAGGTGGGGTTGAGGGTATATGACCATGAGGTCAGGGATAAGGGTTCATGAGAGGATCAAGGGAAATAGAAGTACAGGTCATGAGACAGAAGATCAAGGGTTCAAAGGAAGCGTCTAGCTTCTTGTCACAGAAGGTCAGGGTCGGCAGGGATCAAGAAGTGTGCATCAAGCATCATGGTGAATTGTGAAGAGGTGATGGTTGTGACGGTGTGACAGAGTAAAAGGGTGAGAAAAAGATAGGGGGGCCATGTTGTTGTAACAGTGTCTATCACAAATCCCAGCATTAGTTCTTTGGGCGAGAACTTTAATGCTGGTAAGATCCTTTCGTTGAGTTGTGATATTGCTGCGTTGAAGTGGTCCGACCATCCTTTGGGGATGTCTGCTGTGAGTATGTCCGAGGATCTGTCCTCCCCCAGATCTGGGGCGCAAGTCCATTTAAGTTGTTCTAAAAGGATTTGGTTAGTGCCTTCAACGAGTCCGTTGACCCATGGAGAGTATGCTGGGGTGACGTGGTGCTCGACGCCATGTGTTTCGCACCAATCCGCTACCTCCTTGTTGTCAAAATGCTGTCCTCCGTCAGTCATGAGCTTCTCCGGTACGGTGAATTCTTGTCAGATTTTATCAAGTCCTGTGATGGTAGTCTTGGCCGCCCCATGCCGACCATGTCGCCTTGTCTGTCGCTGAGAGATTCTGCATCCAAACTTCAGCCATACCTCCCGCAGCACATTGGAGCTCGAAGCACTCTATTTTCTCTTGGTTGGTGAATGTGGTTGGGAGTGATAGTCGATACTGTCTAAACCAGTCGGTCAGTTCCTCCCCCTTCTCATAATCACCATAAAAACTTGGCAGCAGTGTTATCAATGACATCGAGGCGGTGGTGACAAGTGCTGGGGTGTTGGTTGCCCCCAAAGGTAAAACTTTGCATGGGGCAGCGTGAACATGTTGCTGGATAAAACAGAGGTTCGTGCGCAGTTCCTTGACGGTGGCTTCTGGCGGGGGTTGTGGTGCAATGAGAACATTGTGGGTATTATGGGAAGGTGTTGGTTGGTTGTAGGCAGTACTAAGTTCCCTCTGTGGAGGTGAAAGCTGTGGGTCGGATGCAACTCTTCGGAGCTGCAGAGCTATGAACAAACGGTCTGTTGGCACCTCGCGCAGACAACAGAGGTCGTCCAATGTGATCGCTGTGGTGAGAATGCTCGCCCTAGTCACCAGGTGGAACAGTGACCAACTCGGGCCTTGCCTTCTGCCTTCGACGTGGTAGGAAGCCTGCTCTACAACAACACATGACTATGGCCTATATCTGCTCTCGGCATCTGCCGAACCGCTTCTGCCCTCTCTTCTCCTCCTATCTCCTATGCTCTCATGCTCCCTCTCATCTCGATCTCTGAACCTGCCCAATCCGGCACATCCGCCTCCCGACCAGACCTCTCCACAACAACGCACAACCTTCTGCACTCTTCCACAGCACGTGCAGCACATGCACATCCTTCTGCACACTGGCACTTTACTTGGCATATCCTCCCATGTCCTGTCCTGTCTGTCCAGTTCTGTTGGTGCATACTCCCACTGTTATCTCTGTCGCTGACCACATCCAGGGTCTCTTACATATAGACTTACCACATATCCGCTTCCCTTACATTTCAGTACCCAGAGAGCGCGTGTAGTGACTTACATATCTAGAGGACTCAGATCATTCCGGACTTACTTACTTTCCCTTACTTGGACTCAGTATCTGTTTTCTGTCTAGTTGTGCATTGAGCACTAATATCATCACTGCTATTGTCTATCTTCTCTCTTGTCTTATTGTGACTTGTCTATCAGCCATCTGAAGTGTCCTTATTGTCAGCCGCCACCCACTTCTTTATCTCGCGCGTACCACACCTTAGCCACATCCTTCCGCACATCCCACACATCCCTAAGGGACAATTCTACTAGCTCGCCTCTCGAGGTTTATATTCCTTGTGACTCCCCAGAGTTCACATTACTATTTCCTCACCCACACCACAATGTACCCAAGGGTACCAGGGGGTACGAGTCTTTGTGCAGGTCGGAGCGGGTACAGTGGGTATGGTACCCATGAGGGGTAAACTCACAGGTATACATACAAATGTAGCTACTAGACATCCAAGAACTACTCAATGATATCATCCCAGCCCTCATCCAACTCCCGCTCTTCTCCTTCGTGGTCAGGCTTACATGTCACAGCAGTAACATCCTTGTCTTTCACCAGACCAAGGAGACTCCAACTTCCAAGGCAAAGAAGAGCTCGTGTCATTTGCACTGAAAGTCTTGAATGCACACAAGAAAGAATGAGCTGGCCACGAGAAAAAATGTGCTCGATGTCAACAGACATTGCTGGAAAGCCACATTGAAAACATTGAAGATTCATGTCAGAATAAAAACAAACTCACCTGGAATTGTCAAGTAATCTAGTGCCATGCGAGAGAGGTGTGGATACATAGCGCGATGTTCGTGCCACCAAGCCAGTACATCACTGATTTTTCAACATCGGTGCTTAGATATTTGTCGAGCTTGTGTGATGTAACTTGGGATGCAGTGCAGAGAGTGATATCTCTACAGGCTCGTATCCCCACATTTCTACATCGACCTCATCACTATCCACAGGTAGGTGCAAAGGCAAGACATAGTGAGGGTGCAAGTATTATCATTTCAACAAAGTAACTTCAGATTAAAGAGCCCACAGGGAGGCTGTCCAGATAACTAAGTTACTCACTACTTTACTGAGCCAAGCTCTACGTATACTTAACAAAGACCTCTCTCTTTTACAGGAAGAGAGATACGAAACAGGAGAACACGACAAAGTTGAGACAGACTTTCATAGGTTGAAACATGACCCACTAGGGTAAAACATACCTATCATTTTCCAGACATAACAACATCACAGACACAGTCAATATAGTTGCTTCAAACAAGAAGGTAACTTGTTTACTCTTTGACCACCCATGAACAACACATTATTAACCAAGAAGTAGAAAATCTGTTGACCGTGAACTTGAGGAGCTGGCAACTTCTAGTCTTATCAAAGTGTAGTTGTGATTGTCACTGCATTTTTTACACTGATTTTATATTAGACCCTCAAGTAAGAAGACAGCACGTACCATGCGCTAGCCGCATCCTTCCGCATATCTCACACTTCTTGTGCATCTGCCACATATCTATCACGCATCTTCGCACACCTTCACATATCTTTGGCTTTCCGCCATCTCTTGATCCCTCTTATATTTAGAGAGTTCTGTCTCAGTAGCATCCTCTAAGGGACAATTCTACTAGCTCACCTCTCGAGGTTTATATATCCAATTGCGCACACCCACCTGTGCAACTTTAACAACATCAAGAACCATGGCCAGAGATTTGCCCTGGTGTTCGAGGTGCACAGAGACCATCACAAAGGCCTTATGATTAGGTGAGGTCGCATCTGTTGTGAAATTGAATTCACCGTCATATTCCTTTGAGATTTTTTGTTACATTTGACAATGGCGTGCATCACCTGCAGCATTCATGTGATCCATAGTTGACCATTTGCAAATACAAGTTTCACATCGCATGACACCATGGAAGGTGAAGGTAAGTAGTATTCAGGATGCCCCGTCTTCATCAATGATTGAAATTCCTTGGTTGCTGACAGTCTCAAATGGTCGGAGGCTTTCTGAGACCCAATGCACAATCTCTGCCCTTTGGCAATGTGTCAGTAGTGTGTTCATGTACATACTAGTGAGTACTTACTTGGTTTAGGTCTTCATGTGTTGCCTATGTGAATAGGTCACTTTACCCTTAGATATTCTTTCAAAAGAGGATGTGATAGTGCCAGATTTCAGTAAGTTTTTGATGACACCTTCACATTGTAGTAGGAGGGTGTGGCCTCAGGGGTAGCAGAGAGACATGTCAGGAGTCTTGGTCAGGTGTCCGGAGTCCTCGAGAGTTCATAGGTAGCCATGTTTGTAGAGTAGAACCTCATCATCACACGAGTGAGCAGTCCACCAAGTGTCAAGGCCCATAGCCCTCTCCAACATGCTGCTACTGCTGATTTAGTGTTTTGTGGAGCATCATATGCCTCTGACCCCCAGCAGCTCTTGGCATGCTTGGCTATGTTGCTGGTAGACTTCACATCACCCTTGTCGAGGTAGCACCAAACACGCTGTTTACAACCCTTCCCCATGCACTGGAATACATGGGAGCGCCGCCAGCCAATATATTCAATGCTTGGTATTGGCTCGTAGAATGCATAAACTGGTGATGTCCACCCTTTTTTTAGCTTGTCTGTGAAATAAAAACTGATTAACATAATGATATGCTCAGGAGAAATAACTTGCCAAGCTCAACTTCTGATGCCTCGGCATCATCAGATGACGTCTCAGAGTCCACATTGATAGCATCCTGTGCAGATATGCCATCCTCCTCTTCCGTTTGTACAGTAGCTTGGTGAGTCATAGTGCGAGGAGGAGGGGATGCTTCTTCTCGCTCAGATGCGGAACTCAAAGATACATGCTTCAATTTTTGTTGGCCAGTGAAGGCTCTTGACTACTGGTGCTAACCTTCCTTTTTAGCTTTTGCGTGCCTTCCACAACAGCCTGGCGGCCTTCTCGGTCAGTTTCTTGACCTGCATATGAAACATTGTGGTGAACCACCTGGCAATTGAGGGGAAGACTTTGGGGTACAACAGCACGGTCCATGCAACAGTGAACAGGCATGTGTGGAAACCGGAAACAAAGTGTCTGAGCTAGAAGCCTATAGGTATCCATAGATGTGAGTCTAAGTTAGCCGAGGCACAAGGCGAACTTAGAGTATAGTCTACGTATGAGTAAGCAATGTGGCGCAGCAATCTTTCTTCTCGCCCTCATCAGCCTTAGAGCTTCATAGATGAGCACCAGCCTACAGCTCTCATATTTTCTGCTCACCCACCCACCGCTCCCTCTCTCAGGTAGTCAGATGAAGCTTTCATAACCAAAGCTAGCAAATTTTAGAACACACAATCCGCTATCATCCAGCTTCGTCTGACACATCACTCGTATCCTTGAGATGGGTAACCTGACCGGGCCCACCTGCCCTTCACAGCTCACCTTTTCACTCAGATATTGGGTCGTTGTTTTAGACCGGAAAGCTCGAGGGGCTTTCGCCCAAACTTTGTTACATTTATCCTTGCCTTTTATATGTCACTCCTTGTCATTGAATGATAAGCAAGTCTCGTTTCTTTCTCAAGGCGTTTACAGAAGTCTTGATATGCATAGACATGTCCCTCTTGCGATGTTGCAGATTTAGCGAATACATTTGAACAGCTAATAAAAACACGTCAGTATGAAAAATGAGCCTAATAATGACTGACTGTCGACGGCAGCATCATCAAGATCCTTCATGAGTGCCGCTAATCCTGCCACAGTCCCCTGTCCCTCATTAGACACCTTGATCATGATATTTGCAACTTCTTGAGGAAGTGTCTCTGTTGGAGACTGGTGGAGAGCATAGGTTTAACCAAGTAAGTGTCACTACATATGATACAAAGTAGAAAACACACCATTTGGCCCATCTGACATGTGCACTGAAACTCACTGAAGAAGGCGGTCTAGAGCTCTCCATTCACATGCTTGTTCATTTTGTAAGATTTGAGGACCTTTTTCAAACATTCAAAAATGAAGGTCCAGAAGTCGTGTAGAGGAATGAAGTTTCGTGTGTACTCGATGACATGTGTAGCATAGTGATGATTGGCCTTGACAATGTTTGAACTGTAAAGCTTAGATATAAATATCAGTACTTGTCTTTTCCAGTGAGTCACTTACAGACAACTTACATTAAGAAGCATGGTACAGTAATCATGAATTAATTGATCCGCTTCATCAAGGTCCTTGTTGCTGAGCTGATGCTTTATTAGTATATGAAGTGCAGCAGATAATTTAAGAAAGTTGGCAGGATCCTCAGGATGAAGGGAGAACTTTAGGTCGTCAGCCTGTATGTCTATCTCGTCCATGATAGTTTGTTCTGTCACTTTGCATTTCCCCTTCCTCTGATCTGACCTTGCCTTCTTTTCAGCAGCGAATCATGCTTTCTCAGTCTGTTTGATGGCAGTAAGTCTCAACTTCTCGTTTTTCTTTGCCTCCACATCAGTAAGCTTCTGTGAGGCTCTACATGCTTTCTCCACCTCAAAGGCATCTTTACCACATTTTTTTTTCACTTCAGTGAGTGCTTGCTTGTCTTTGGCTTTGCAGGCTGCCTGTGCTTGTTTATCTGCCTCTGACCTTTGTATCATTACAAATCATTGCTGCAAGATCTGATTGTTAGTATCGGAGGGTGGGCAAGCGGACCACAGCTGTGGAATCTGAATTTTGATAAGTGTAAGATTGGAAATGTACCAGATAGCTCACATACAATGATAGGACCATATACAGTTGAGAGGAGTAGCCATTTGTCAGCTGTAAGAGAGCTGCCTGACGGCATGCCTATATCCATAGGGAGTTTACCACAGGATCCTGGAACGATAAACTATGAGAGCAATTAGCGAAGTTATAGTACGAATAATACAATCATATGTCAGCCAACATCTCGTGAAATGTCTGCAGCTTGTAGTCATGGTGCAAAATCATGTTTTGCACCCAAATATTATAAATGTGTGTTTTAATAAGACCTTCAAACATCGGATCAGGCATGATGTACTAAGGGAAGGTAGCCAGGCCATACTGTAAGAATAATACATCAAGTACTTACAATTAGAGGGCAATACTGATACATGTATTCCTAAGGTCCGCAGTTGTCTATAATCTATAGGGCTAATATATCAGTGGAGGATCCTGGTCCGGTGCTCAATCCACAGTTCTCTGGACCTGGTTCCTGGCCTTCGTTTGATGGTATCGTGCTTCTTCAGTCTATCTATAGGTAACATTACTTCTGCCTGATGACTGGGCCTGGATCATGAGATGCGCATCTGATGGACGAGTCTGATCGGTAGGTTGATTATCAAAAATAGCACCAAGTGACAAGTCCCCCCCCCCCCCCTGCTGGAGATTCCCACTTGAATGCGCTCCAGCCCTAAACACTTATCACTTCATCCTTTTCATGTTTTTATTTTATTTTAACTAATCTTCTCTAAGCGCATCTGCACCTGGGTTTCCCCATCAAGCAGAGGCTACATCTCAGAACGCCCCTCTTCTTCTACTCATCCGAAAGGTTATTTCTCCTGGCTCTCAAGGAGGCTGCACCGACATCCTTTGTTGGGGTGTTCGAGCCTTCCTCACCCCAGGCGTCATGTGGTCGAAAGGCTATGCCACGTTCTGTGTGCGTTGTGACCCTCCAGGATCACCAGGTTTCTACTCCTTCTGGTGCCAATGGCATGTTAGTGAGTGCCATTTCTCAGTAAAATTGTATTTGACACTAAATAACGATGTAGAGCGACCATATATTAACGGATTGCGGCCGTGGCATTCGTATTGCCAATGCCGCTTGGACAGCGTGGTATGTCCTTGTCCTACTCCTCAGCTGGTGAGTGATCAAATGCTAACATATTTCGTCTTCTGATTTTTTGTGACGCAACAGAATTGGTGGATAGATTTTTCGCACCAAGTATATGAGGACATGGCATTGGTACCTGTAGGACTGATGTATCACTACCTACCACTCAACTATAAGACATTGATGTATCACTACTCTGCATTCGCTGAATTCGACACAATTCAAACCGAAATTCCTCTAAGTCCCGCAAACGTGTAGCTGCCTTCTAAGAAACACGTTTGAAATTGTTTGAAAGCCAAAATTATTGCATTAACAAACATATGACACACGCAAGCAACTACATATATGCAACAATGTATAGTAAATGACACAATTGTCCGGAGACACGCATACACACTCATTTGCGTCCAGTCTTCCGAGTGGCGGATGAGCCACCAATATTGTTGGCTTCCGCAGCACGCCTGGATTGGAACCGTTGATGTTTGCCTCGGCCATCCTGCTGATCCGTTGATTCCGTCACTCTCTCATCAACCAGGGTGGAGGCGCTGGAACCAGCCCTGCGAGCATTACCTTTATGATTCACACCGACATTCAACCGCTCTCCTTCAGATTCACATGCGTGCTTCTTGCCTGTGTTGTCAGAAGGGGGTCCTCTTGGGGCGGCATCAGACAGAGGTGTCAGAGTTTGGGTGGGGAGTGCACCGGCAGGTGGCATTGTACCTGATAGAATGTGGGTTGTCAATGAAGGCACCTGGGAGGGTGGTGGAGTGGAGATAGGGAAGGTGAAGGTGAAGGTGGGATTTGTAGTGTGATAAGGCTGCGGCTGCGCTCCAGCTTCATTTGGGGTAGTAGCAGGTTCATCTGTAAGAATCAATGTATTTTGTGTTTGATGAATTTGTGGTGGTGACGGGATAATCGGCAGCGAGTGTTGCAGGGCAAGGTCTTGTTCGAGAATAGGAAAATCTTGTCCGAGGATGGATGGGTCCTGCAGAAACGGATTGAAACCGTGCATCATCTCCGAGTCTTGCGGAGGTTGCAGAGGCATCAGAAGAATGGGAAGTGATGGCTGCGATGTGTCGTCCATGTCCATTTGTGGCGGAGATGCGTAAGGCTCGGAGAAGAATGGAATGTCGACGTCATCCATGAGATAAGCAAGCTGTGAGTCAAACAACACATCAGACATGGCAGTTGTGGTATTTAAAGTGGTAGGTGGTGATATATCAGAGGGTGATTGGACAGTAGACGAAGATCCAGAAGCGATGACCGGAGTGGATGATGTCAAGCTTTGTGCCCTCGACAGAGCAGCTGCGTCGGCTGTTGAAAGAGGTATTAGTCTGATATCTTGTACTGAGTAAGGATGACTGACGAAAAACACATTCTACAAACTGCGTGTAAGGCACCATAATGTTCTGAGAGAATTGGGGATAGGCTTGACTGAACCGGTTGCCCAGTTTTGTTGTACCAACATGAAAACTACTGACATCAAGTGTCCCACCTGCAGCAGGATGTGGCCCGCCCATGAGTACCGTGAATACCCAATCTGTCATTTCGTGCAACTCCTCGAAGAACTGGGTCAGAATCGCAGCAATTTTGGATATGTAGCTGCACATGCTGTAAGAAAACATTGTTCATAGAAAGCAAAGAATGTAACTTACGTGTCCTTGTCGTGATCCTGCTTCTTTGCTTCCTCGATTTCCGCACATTTCGCCTCCTTCATTGCCTCGATAGCAGCAAGGACCTCTGCCTTTACTTCCTTGGACTCATTTTCGAAAGCGGCTTTGAGATGCCGCTTAACGATACCCAGGGTAGTCTTCTTAGCCGGCTCAGTGAACAGCACTTTTTTTAACTCTTCCTGCTCAGTCTTCACCGCATCTTTGACTTTCGTATAATGCATTTTTGAGTACATTTCCCATGGTTGCAAGACACGAGTGGGTTTGTCCGTCGAGCCCTTCATGATATTCTTCATCATCTTCTGGACTGTGGCAGTGTGCTGTCCATTCGCCCGCCGACCTGCTTTTGACGCACCCAAATCATTAGCAAATTTCTCCATGAGGTGCTGTTAATATTGTGAGGCACATGTTATTGAAATTAATATTCGGACAGCATATACGTACCTGTTGATGCAATGCCCAGGCTTCTGCCAGCACAGTAGACTGTTCCTTGGTTAAGTTGACATTGAGCGGAATGTCTTTAAAGACAACAGCGCGCTCTGGAAATTTTTCTCCCCATGCCTCAAAAAAGGGATTCCACAAAGGTTCATAATTCCTGTTGGCCTTACATTCAAGGAATTGATTGTGGAATGTCGCAATAAACTTGATCTGCTCAGCAGAATATTTGGTGGGTGGCGCCATTGGTGAGATTAGATGTATGTTGCAGGTAATAGCTATTAGTTAGTGTGGCAATGAGATTAAAAATTCACTTCGAGCGTATGAATGTGAACCACGTGTGTTTTCATCCGACTGCTAGAGAGGGACCGGTTCAGTGCAATGGCAGTATGTAGGGCTTTTATTTATGTTGAAGATTATGAGACAGGCCTTAATTCATGCTTGACTGGCCTCGCGGCACTAGCGCAATGATCCCGCCTGCATTTGAAATATGATATTGGTTGAATGAGTTTTCGTCCTACCAAGACTTAGTGTAATCCTACCTAGACTCAATGTAATTAGGGACCAATTCAGTGCAATGGCAGTCGGACTTTATCTCTGTTGATGATTTCAAGTTACATTTACAATGCTATAACACACGCTGACATGAGACGGGCCTTGATCCAAGGCTTGCAACTGGCCTAGCTTAGCATTGTGAATAAGTTTGGCCCATTGAAATATGATATTGAGCAAATGAGTTTTCGTCCTACCAAGACTCAGTGCCGCAATGGAGGATCCTTGGTTCTTTTTCTTGAAGACTACCACCACTCTCTACTACAGCTAGTCAAAATGGCCCGTCCAGTTGTTCATAAAACAGCCGAGGCAAAGCTACAAGCTTCGTGTGAAAGGCACCGCCATCATTATGCAAAGTATGTCATACATTCATTAATTATTTACATCCGTTCCTGACAAATTACATTAAAGACATAGAGATGAAATTTTGAAGAGGCGGAGAGTCCTTCGTAGCTCGAAGACCAAGGAATCGAAAGAAGCGAAGAAATTCCACAAAGAGCTCTTGAAGGCTGTCGCAAAAGCCCCGCGTCGCAGGGATGACAATGAGTCTGAGTCAGAGTCTGAGTCCGATTCAGATGATGACTCGGAATCAGAAGATGATGAAAATATCAAGCTGTATGTGCATATGTTCAATTTTATAAATAGAAATGAAATGAAACATTAAACTCAATTTCAACAGTGACGATCTTCCAGAATGCTTACGCGTTGTCAAGGACATCAAGGACGAAATGCTGGCGATGATCGGCGATGACCCCTGCAAATTTGTTGAGGGAGTCTTTTGCGACTATGTGAAGAGTTTCCCTGAAGACTCTTCCCCCGGTGATATTTCCATCATTGAATCCTCCATCGCGAAGGTCCAAAAGATACTCAACCGGGCCATTCCTGCACAAGATCAAATCTTGAATTTTTGTGGAGTCTCACCTGGCTCTGAGTGGCATGCTGCTGACTCAGTCACCCGTTTCTTAAGGACCGTGCTCGCATATCTAGAGGACATTGAGGGTCTGATTTTTCTTGGAGGAGTTTGCGAGCTCACACTTGCTCACTCGATGGGGGAGATGATGTATCAGAAAGGCCTCAGAATTTGATTTCTTCCATGTACTCATGTAACGTAGATTTTGCGCACGTAGTGTGTAGTCCATACGAGTTTTTCTTGCGCTGTGTCTTATATACCATCACCAAAATTGCTCAACTCAGACATAGGAACGCTAATGACGACGTGAGGCGAGGTTGATCATCGTGTTCTCGTTGAATATCAACAAAACATCATTTATTTGGCAACTAGGTACAAAGTTGTTAGAGTGCAAACAGAAGTACAGTGACAATCATGGAGATCACGCCCTGAATGAGGAGGTTGATATTACCATTGGTACGCATTTAGGCGCGTCCCTTATCCATGGCTGGGGAAAGGTGTCGATGATGGTGAGAATGTGAAGTCGGATAATGCTACGTGATTGTTCAGGGCGTACATCTGCATCTGGAGAGCGAGTTGCTCTTCGATCACTGAGGGATGGTTGGGGTTGTAGTTGGATGAAGGCGCGGTGTGGATGGGATAGCCAGAGTAGGTGTTGTTGCGCCGAATGTGCAAGAATGAGTAGGGATAGGGCGAGCCTACTGGAGGTGTTGGGCTGGCTTGCATGCTTTGCATGCCAGATATCAATGGTGACGGAGCAGCAGTTTGGCTGTGAGGTGTGGGTAGTATAGGTGCGGCTTGGATGAGGAACTTGGAAGTAATGTGATATATAGGCAGCTGCGGCATCATCGTGATTCTGATCATCTGAGTAGACTTGATTTTGCAGCGGGTGTGGCCGTCCATTGCTCTGATTTTGTTGTTGTTCTGCACCACGAGTGTCAGAAAACATGTGGCTGTGCTGGTGCCACAGATGATGCTCTGATACAGAGTCAACCAGCTCAGTCGTCACCCTCACCGGAAGTGCTGGTCAGTCAGTAGATGGATAAGAATGTGACGAGAAACAGACTTACTTTTGTTGTCCAGTGAAAGCTCGTTGTCAGATCTGGGCAACCACGAGAACATTAGTTGTCTGGCAGATAGAATTTTGAGGAAGAGACGTATGAGGGACCAAACAACACGCGAACACTGCCGCACTTGGCGAGAAAGGAGCGTTCGATGGCGTTGGCCGCGGTTGGCGTGAGTATCAAGTTCCAGTGAGTGATATATCATATATTATAGTTGCCATTGACGGACCATTGACGGTGATGACTAAGGTCCAGAACACAAGGCACCGTGTGTTAATAAACAAAGTCATGTGAGGTCATTGTGGTCACGTGTTGTACGCGTCTGTGGTAGCATCGTGTATGCCTCATGTGAATATACTGAAACTTACACCATACTGTCTGGCTTGTCTTCCAAAAAAAATTTCAGGCCAGAACATAACCCGCTGTCAAATCAATCTACTGGTCACCGAAGCCCTTCAACATGGTCCTGGCATTAATGTAGCACAAGGTAAGTGTAGATACATTTGAAGTCACGGAAGCCTTACATGTAAATTTTCAGAATGATTCGCCATGTCGACGATTTGCACGCTTTGCCACCATTCTGGTATCCTGCCATGACGCGGGCTGCAAAGAAACCGAAGCTGCAAGTTGAGCGTTTCATTCAGCCAAGCTCCACACCCATGCCAGCAGTTAAGTTGATACGGGAATACGCACTTACTAATGGACGCACTACTCTACAAACAGGGCATGTTTCACTTGGCGGGGCCACACTTGATAGTGAACCAGATGATTCACTATACGAACCTCACGCCATCCAGGATTGGCCGGACTACAATGATTGGGATGAAGTCTCTCCGTTTTGTGATCCTCCGATCATCACGGGCGACGCTCTGCAGGATAAGCGCAAAGAATATGCTGCAGTAAGTGAAAACATCAATGTCATTTACTACGCTCATGATTATTTTAGGACAATCCGCTTCTTGTTTGGCTCTTTGACCGCCAATTTTTCCTTGACGAGACCATATTTCTGGAGGGTCGTGGTCACGAAGGCCAGTGCACAGTCTGCCGCTGTGGCAGTGAAATTGAAGAACCCAAGTACCGATGCAGGGACTGTTTCGGCATGGAAATGTACTGTCGACATTGCACTGTTGAGCACCATCAATCCAGTCCACTGCATGTTATTGAAGTACGTGTTTCCTACTAGATACATGGTCTACAGTACTAACATACAAACACAGGAGTGGAACAGCTCTTTTTTCCAGCGCGCACACCTCAAGTCCCTTGGTTTATGTGTGCAACTGGGACATCCTCCCAGTGACCACTGTTACAATCCACGTCCCTCAACAGGCAATGACTTCACCGTTGTTGACATCAATGGGATCCATGATGTCGCGCTAGATTTTTGTGGCTGTCACACTGCCCAACTGTGCTACAAGCAACTATTACGAGTGCAATGGTATCTGGCAACAACGACGGATCCGCAAACAGCTGCAACATTCAATGTACTTGAGCACTATCAGCTGCTGTCATTCAAGTCAAATATTTCGGCCTACGAATTTTATCACAGCCTAGCCAGGCGCTCCAACAATACTGGATTGTCGCCCATCAAGGTAAGTCATAAAATTTCAATTTAATGTATGATATTGATCCTTCTTGACTTGCAGGACCGTTATTCAGCGTTCATGAGGATAGTACATGAATGGCGTCACCTTCTACAACTCAGGCGTAGTGGCCGAGGTCACGACCCTGGTGGCGTCGCAGAAACAAAAGCTGGCGAACTTGCGGTAGTTTGTCCAGCATGCCCCCATGCAGGCAAGAATTTACCCCAAGGTTGGGAGAATTCACCTCCAGCAACAAGGCAAGTTTAAAGTTGATTGTTTGATGAGAATGTCTTGCTCACTCAGGTTGACAGATGGTTGTATGCACTCTTCGTCGCTATAGATGCGAATTTCCGTCTCAAGCGGAAGGCTGTCTCCTCTGACTGAGTGGATCCTGGTTTAAATACAGGATGGGCCTATTTTGTGGAGGAGTGTGCATACAAGAGCTACCTATCTGAGCAAGCCAATGAACAACAAGAGGTGCATATGTAGTCTGGACTGTTGAGGGCTGACATACTCAATGTTTCCTTACTAGCGCAGTACCTGTGTTAGTCATAACACAGTTAATATGGCTGACACGAAATCTTCACGAGGCTTGGCAGCTACTGGTATAGGTACCATCGACTGCGCTCGACATGAATTCAAATTGCCAAATGGGGTAGGCGATCTACAGAAAGGCGAAAGGTATGTTTTCTGCTACTTTTTTCACATTGAGCCAGCTGACGGTGTTACAAGGTATTTAAATATGGATTATATCGTTTTTTCGGCCCTTGTCGGATTCACAGTGACTGTGCTAAATATCTCCTACGATATAGCTTGTCAATGGTCAAAAAACCTATGGAACAGAATGGAACACATGCCGGCTCGGCTCCATATACCTCGTGACGATGTGCTGGTTCAATATTTCATACCGAAGTTTCATATCACGGCCCATATCGCAGCCTGTCAGCTCACATTCTCCTGGAACTTTACCAAGTGGGTAGGTAGGACTGATGGTGAAGCACCAGAACGAGGTTGGGCAAATGCCAACCGTGTCGCATCTAGCACGAAGGAAATGGGGCCAGGAACTCGATGTGACACCTTAGACGATCACTTCAGTGATTGGAATTGGAAAAAGACGACAACACTTGGTGGGTTTTCATTGTCGAGTATTATGTTCCCCTCACTGATACTTCAGACTCTCAAGGCCGTACGTTGAAGCGCAAGATGGAAAACACCATAAAGTGGGAACGGGAACATCATGTCGCCTTGTACGATGTGGAAGGAACAATTCAGCCTGTGCTGCTGGACGAGTGGGGAACAGAAGTCGAGATGTGGGAGGAGGACAACACTCGCCCAAATCTGTTCGAAAGCAAGCTTGCTTGTACATCACTGCCCACACATTCTATGAATTCGCACTGATCATCTGCTGTATGTGTAGCTATTGCGCAGGCCGCAGTAAGGTCACAGCTCGCAGAATTGGAAGCACAAGAGCTGCGGGAAGGGATCAACCACTCTCTCGACGACAATGTCTCACCTAGCGTCCTCATTAGTGGTGGGATTGAATTAGAAGACTTGTAGTATGTGATGTCTCTCTTTCAACATGTGGTTGTTGTTCAAATCTTATGACAGACAACGGCTCAAACACGACATTTCAGAACTAATGCACTACAGAGACGCATCAATTCCTGGACCCGCTATCAACAACTCTATATGCCTATTGTCTCCACGCTGCGCTCATCAACAAATCCAAGTCCAGGTGCCCCCCAAACACTTAAGCCGCAGGATTTTCCACTCTATCTACCATCAGCTCTCAATCATCTCGACTGCAATCACCGTTTAATGAAGCACGAATGGAAACTTCAGCAGGCACAAGCTCACGATGCCCTCAACGAGCTCCGCTCCCACCTTCATTTACGTTCGCACATTTACAAATTCAAAGACAAGAACTTACGGGGCCAAGCAGCTTCTACCCGTGCACAAAATCTGATTGCACGCGTTGAAGCAAAGAAAGATGCGGCGGTAGCGAGATACAGGTGCGCTCGTCAAGCGATAGAATCACTAAGCTGTCGGTTGGATGAGATGGGCTGGGAGGCAACACTTCGACCCCTCAGACACGAGGACATTCGGCCTATGGGCGATTTCACAGGTGATCGCACTCAAGGCACCAGGACAATCTCGTGGATCTGGCTGACGACAGATGTCGACACCAGTCCACCCGAGAATGAAAGTGTTCAAGATTGTGAGTGTTTCTGGTTGATGCTATCGACAGCTGACTCAGATTGCTTTATGTAGGTGTTCGTATCGAATGGTGCAAGGCACGCGCACGCGCAGCTCGATGGTCCGAGGAAGTAGAGTTGCTGGTCGAAGAAATGAGACGAGTACTTGCCTTTCTGGAATGGCAAGGCCCCTGGTGGCATCAGCGCACAATGCTGCGCTCATCGGAGAAGACTACCGAGCAAGAGGGCTTGCAGGCATATGCCTACTGTCAAGCCGCACTCCGTTCTGCGATGCGGACCTCATTCCAAGCTCGTTGGAGCTTTGTTTCTCATCTCAGTTCTACGAGTTCTATGTCGGCTTCTGAGGATGACAGCGGTCCTTCAATTGACGCACCTCCTGCGGTCATGGAGTTTTGATTTGAACAATACATAGTGTTTGTAGTGTAGCGGCACTCTCAGGCACCACAATACACATATTTTTGCATCCAGGCTTGATCGCAGATTGATCACAGATGCTCGATCTCAGCAAGAGAAGCAAGGCTCAATCTTAGACGGCTTGATCGTAGATTGCTCGATCAAATCTCAGGGCACAACATGAGCACAACTTGAGTAGAACACAGTACTATACTCGGACATGGCCAATGGATTGCACTAGGGCCATCGGGAACCTATAGTCTACTGTACAGCGATGTATCACACCACTTGTAGCTCTCAGTAATACATGTATCATGAATGTCTTATGGTTGTAGGTAGTGATACATCAATCCTACAGGTACAGGTGAGGTAGCACACTTACCGAGAAATAAGTTGTACATTGGATCAATGATCACCTGCTCGACAATATTGAAATAAGGTAAACACCAGAGTTGCATATAGATCGTCACAAAATCCTTGACAAAGGTTTTGTAAGCATTTGGCATTGTCAGATTGCCATACAGTTCTCCTAGTTTGTGGTGTTGTGCATCTGTGTGCACTTTGAAAGCTGAACACATCTTGTCAGTAAACAAGTAGTATATGAGCTGAAACCAGACACATACCTCCCTTCTCAAAGGCAGACACCTTATCTTTGCTGGCGATACTGATCCAGCAACATGTACAAAAGTTAGTGTGAGAATGAGAAGTGAAACCGCTGATTTTGTGTGCAGCTGGCTTATCGCACACAACAGGTACCAATATCACACAAATGAGGCAACCTAGATTAACATTAATATTGATAAAATCAAAATTTGTGAGTTGGTTTACCTTCTGGACACAACTTAGTAGGTACTATGATATTATCTTTTCATAATTAAAGGAGATCAGAGATTATTGGACAAAGAAATCATTGTATCTGGTTGAGATTTTGTTCCTTTGGGCCTAGTAGTATACTTGTACACATTAAATTGGATGTGTGATATCTAGATATTATCATGTGAATACAAATGTTAGTACAAAGATCAACTACACTTACTAATATTCCGGTGGCAGATTAGTTATTGAGAATGAGGTCGGACATGAGGAGTCCGATGGGGCAATATTGCTTTGTATATAGGAAAAGCTATTGGATAAGGGAACAAAGGATCATTAATAGGTTGTGAGAAGGTAGATTTAAATTATGAACTCACCAGTCAACTGTCATTAACACCTATTCATAGTTCACCATTTGGCCCTGCCGCTCATGAGCAAGATCACAAAAGAACAAGCTGTCACCAGGTGATTTCAGTCTGGTTCTGTACATACAAAGATGTCAGTTTACTGATTCGGTGCACACAGTTTGGAGCGCCAGCTATCAAGAAGTGCCTTGAGACCAGGTATCTTCAGCAGGGATTTGAACTGATGAGAGAGAGGAAGATAAGGATACTTCACTACTGGTATCTTTATGGTGTGCTGGTTTCCATGGGCGGTGAGATCAGGAAGGAAAAGATATATGCAACAATTCGGGCACATATCCTGTGATTTCGGTAAACACACTGGAGGAAAAATGTTGCGACAGGATGGACGGACTGGGAGTGTGTAGATAGGCTTGTCGATGCCTAGAACTCAATTACTCTATTGAAGGGTGACAAAGGGAAATTGTAAGTGAAGCCATGAGACGAGCACATATATAGACAGAAGGTGACCAGGAAGATGTGTGAGGTCTGTGGCATCTTCCACAGACAAATCATCTGGGATCAAAAAGGGGTCCGGATTATCCTTACCAGGTTGTGCGGGTGATCATATTCATAAGCATTAACTTCTATGTCAGGATCAGCCTCTTCTTCCTCATCCTGGTGTTCTTGTGCATATTACAAGGTCCTTTGAAGTTCCCGATCAAAGTTGGCCTGGTCTGGGTCAGCAGGAAGATGATGTGCATCACAAGGCATGAGTGGTCGTGATCCTACAGCTGTTGCAGAATTATATTCATCAAGGTGATTGATGGCTGTGAGTAATGCCTCCACACTACAGAAGGGGCTGAGGTTAGGCATGACATCATCCTAGGTGGTGATATGGAGATCTTCATCTCTAAGACAGCCAGAGTCAAGTACTGTGGAGTCTGAGAAGTAGGGCTCAAAATGTGGTGACAGCAGTGGGGTTGGTTTATATAATGAGACACCGAAACCACAAGGGACCTATATCTGACTGAGATCCTGGTATGATGTGTCTACCCATGCACTTGTAGTGAACTTGTGATTGAAGAGTTTCATTTAGCAAGTGCAAATGTACCATTGCATGTAGTGCAGTTGTATTGTGGCATGTTGGGCAAAGATAAGACTCTTATCAAAACATGACTTGGCAACATATCTAAGGAATTTCAGCCAATCACATGAGATTATATTTCATAGTAGGAGCATGCATAAAGTAACAACTGTTAATACATAAAATTGGGCCTTGTTTCTCTGCTCTGCATACCCATGACCTCATGCTATGGTATCATTGACGAGAGAAGTTTGAGCAAGGTCATTCAACTGATAGATAATACTAAGTGCAAATATCACAGACAGAGGAACAGACTTACATCCATTTTGTCCTTATAGAAGTGGGTGAACTCTGCTGGAGTCTCTGGCTCCGTGTTGCTACTATCAAAGGTCTCTTCTGCATATATATTTTCCACGGGCCCAGCTGCAAACTTCTTCCAAGCATATTAGTTAGTATAATTAGCCAACTATAAGGATGCATAGTACTTACTTTATATTTCTAGGCCTCTTGCTAGCGCATCACCTGAAGTCGGTGTAGGAACAAGTTCCTGGTTAGGCTTACTTTACCCCTATTTACCTTGCTTGTGTTGTCACTTGGATAACTTACATAATCATGTTGGTCTTTACCCTTACTATCACATGGTGTGACTTAGAATGCAGTTTCCCTTATCCTCTCTCTCTCTCTGAGCTGTGAGCCTGGTTCAGAAACCCTTTAGGGTCTGACACTGTCTACAAGACTTGGTAGCTAGGCAGCAAGACCCAACACCAGATTTCTACCAATCTGAATTGTTGTACCCACATCGGTCAGGAGTGTTGGGCTTGGTTGCGCTAAGATCTACATGTTCAGGAACTTGTAGTAATCTGGGCCACTTGGTGGGCCATCTGAACCAGATTTTGACTGTCTACAAGAGCAAGTATTCAGTGAGATTGTTTTATGTAAATCTGAAACTTGCCATGGGCCCTGGTTGCTTGGTTTCAAAGGTAAAACTGAATGTCTGTAGTTTTAAGGGTAGTTCAAGGTTAATCTTTGCTGCATTTGGTATTCTTAACTTCAGGATCATCAGCTGCTTGACATGGCAGACTGAGTCCATCAATACTTCTAAAGATATTGTTGTCGATGATTTGATTGTGGTTTGGAAAGTGAATTGCACATTTAGGCATGCATTATAGAGTTTTAAGGAAGATATTGAGTGCAAAATTTAGGTAGCGATTGATGGTGGTAGGTATGAGAGCGAAAATCTGGGCTTAGTGTGCATTTACGCGCTTCCATCGGCTTTTGTCAGGTCCATCCATCCATTGTCTATTTGGTCCCTAGGTGTGTATTACATACATATATTTGTTTTCTGACAGCCACTGTCTCCTTACCTACACCTGTGATATTCTTCAGCTGCTCTCACATGCTAATCGGCTGCTTTAGGACACTTTTGCTCGCTCTTTGCTAGCTATCTTCTATATCTACTGGTTTTTTTTAAGAGAAGGTTCTTTACTCAATTACCAAAGTAGAGTTACGCAGTTTGTACTATGCCTTAGAGAGCACCTATCTATAGCCAGGAGTCATACTCTCCTTCTCTTATCAGTCTATATCTCTAAAACATTCACTTAATATCCATTCCTCGCCTCTCACATGATCCAAGACATCTCTCAGCATTTGTGCTCCATCAAGCACTGTTTTCCCATGATTCAAGTGCATTTCCCAAGCTCTCGTGCTTATTGGCCACTTACCTCGCGTGTTCCTGTGCTTCATGTGCACTTAGTCGCCTGACTTCTGCCTGACTCAGCTTCCTCTAGAGGTTGAACATATCACCCTCACATCAGAGCAAATTCTCTTGAGTCTATTTCACTGTACCCATATTGTTCTATTTTTCTATGGCTTATTCAACCGATCAGACTTTCTCACTAGCTGACAGAGTATGTTTGTAAGCATGTCACGTGACTGGGAAATGATCTGAGTTATAAGAATTCAGCTTGACTCATCATGCTTTGTAAGACTTGTAACTGTATTTATAATCTACGTAGTAACTAGGATGACTCAGCTCACCAAAAGGCTTGATTTGTAAGCACATTCTTACCAATCCATGAGATGACTCATGCCTTCTATTCATCATGCTTTGTAAGATAAAATTGTATTTGTAAACTACTTGGTAAACAAGCTGATTCAACATATCAAAAGGCTTGGTTTGTAAGCACATTTTTACCAATCCATGTGATGAATCATGCTTAATAACCTGGCCTTCTAAAAGGTAAAAAAGGAGCTCATTTTACACCATGAAATAAAACTTTCCACTTTAAACCTATCATATTATTTGAGAGTGATCAGGAAAGACATGGTAAGAGTGCAAGCAAACAAGTTGCTTTGAAGTAAGATTTTGACACAGCAATTTCAAGTTATAGTAAAGCCCAAGAGAGGTTGTCTAGATAACCAAATTGCTCATGTACATAATGAATACCTCTCTCTTTTACAGGAAGCATAATTAGATGGAAGTGGACCAACACCACAGCCCATCAGATGTGATGTCCCACCAAGAGGAGGAAGTTGTAGAGAGGCAAGAGAACTAGAGTACGAGTCTCAGTCACGGTGAGCAAAAGTGATTCCATGTAGCCTGTTGGTGTAGACTACTGATCCGTATGAGTGAGAGTATAAGTGCTCGTCCCAAGGGGATTGCTACTGAAGGAAGTCTTCACGATAAATGCGAAGGAATTGACCCTATGGGCTTATGATCTATGCGGCAGATGCGCAAAGGTAGACAGGAAGATCCAATGTAAGATGGAGAATGTCTGGATGGAAGATGGACCTGACGGAACAGATGTCTAGTGGTACGACTGTGACTGACTAGGTATCAAGGTGGCAAGGTTTCAAGGTTTCAAGGTCTTGATGTAATGAGCTACCGGAAGTGATCCGTGGAACGGAATAGAATTGGCTAAGTTTGGAAGAGCAGAGGCGCAAGTATCTGTACTGAGGTCCATTGCGATGCGGAAGGCTAAGGGGACTTTGATCACATGGACTTAGACACAAAATCCAAGGGAGTAAAAGGAAGTGATATTGTCAGAAGACGACACAACTATTTATCATGATCCGTAAGAACTCGAAATCCTCTAAGCGGCAGTAGTACAGGCGAGTCCATAGTGCGGTAATATGAATGGCAAGCAGCCTCATGTATGGGAATGTACATGTAATACAGACTGTGGTTGATCAGAGTGACAAAAAGAGACAAATGATGCGCCAATGGGGATGGATGGACAGGGATGGACAGGGACCAAAAGCAAATGACGGTATCTGTTACGGTTTGCGTATCCGTTAGGTGTCCAGAAGGGACAGATGTTGACGGAAGAGGTCGGATGGGTATGGACATGAATACCTGACCAGGTGAGCTCCGGATCATACATAATGGACAATTGTGAGGCTAGCGTCAGAATGTTCGGTACAACAGTTAAAGGGACTACATTCAATGTAGTACTATGAACCTAGAGTACGAGTTTATATATAGTGAGTACAGTAAAACAAATGTGAAGACAACATGATACACACCTCAGTCATGGTTAAAGGGACTGAGGTGTGTTGGCGTGTGCTCGTAGTCTTATATAGAGTTAGAAGACAGTGAAAAACGGAATGAGAAAATGAGAAAAGGTACTGTCAATGTCTTGGAATTATATATGTCACTTTGTTGTGACGTCCTGGATGCCCTGGTGGTCAGGTGTACTCTCAACAGAAGTAAATCTCAGTCAAAAACTCAAGTGTTCCCTTGACATGATAGATGAA